ATGCAGATCCCTCATGCAGATCCCTCATGCAGATCCCTCATGCAGATCCCTCATGCAGATCCCTCATGCAGATCCCTCATGCAGATCCCTCATGCAGATCCCTCATAGCAGATCCCTCATGCAGATCCCTCATGCAGATCCCTCATGCAGATCCCTCATGCAGATCCCTCATGCAGATCCCCTCATGCAGATCCCTCATGCAGATCCCTCATGCAGATCCCTCATGCAGATCCCTCATGCAGATCCCTCATGCAGATCCCTCATGCAGATCCCTCATGCAGATCCCTCATGCAGATCCCTCATGCAGATCCCTCATGCAGATCCCTCATGCAGATCCCTCATGCAGATCCCTCATGCAGATCCCTCATGCAGATCCCTCATGCAGATCCCTCATGCAGATCCCTCATGCAGATCCCTCATGCAGATCCCTCATGCAGATCCCTCATGCAGATCCCTCATGCAGATCCCTCATGCAGATCCCTCATGCAGATCCCTCATGCAGATCCCTCATGCAGATCCCTCATGCAGATCCCTCATGCAGATCCCTCATGCAGATCCCTCATGCAGATCCCTCATGCAGATCCCTCATGCAGATCCCTCATGCAGATCCCTCATGCAGATCCCTCATGCAGATCCCTCATGCAGATCCCTCATGCAGATCCCTCATGCAGATCCCTCATGCAGATCCCTCATGCAGATCCCTCATGCAGATCCCTCATGCAGATCCCTCATGCGATCCCTCTGCAGATCCCTCATGCCTGATCCCTCATGCAGATCCCTACATGCAGATCCCCTTCATGCAGATCCCTCATGCAGAATCCCTCACTGCATGATCCCTCATGCAGATCCCTCATGCAGATCCCTCATGCAGACTCCCTCATGCAAGATCCCTCATGCATATCCCTCATGCAGATCCCTCATGAGATCCTCATGCAGAATCCCTCATGCAGAATCCCTCATGCAGATCCCTCATGCAGATCCCTCATGCAGATCCCTCATGAGATCCATCAAGGCCAGATCCCTCATGCAGATCCCTCATGCAGATCCCTCATGCAGATCCCTCATGCAGATCCCTCATGCAGATCCCTCATGCAGATCCCTCATGCAGGATCCCTCATGCAGATCCCTCATGCCGATCCCTATGCAGATCCCTCATTGCAGATCCCTCATGCAGATCCCTCATGCAGATCCCTCATGCAGATCCCCTCATGCAGATTCCCTCACTGCAGATCCCTTCATGGCCCTCAGGATCCCTCATGCAGCTCCCTCATGCAGATCCCTCATGCAGATCCCCTCATTGCAGATCCCATCCCTCATGCAGATCCCTCATGCAGATCCCTCATGCAGATCCCTCATGCAGATCCCTCATGCAGATCCCTCATGCAGATCCCTCATGCAGATCCCTCATGCAGATCCCTCATGCAGATCCCTCATGCAGATCCCTCATGCAGATCCCTCATGCAGATCCCTCATGCAGATCCCTCATGCAGATCCCTCATGCAGATCCCTCATGCAGATCCCTCATGCAGATCCCTCATGCAGATCCCTCATGCAGATCCCTCATGCAGATCCCTCATGCAGATCCCTCATGCAGATCCCTCATGCAGATCCCTCATGCAGATCCCTCATGCAGATCCCTCATGCAGATCCCTCATGCAGATCCCTCATGCAGATCCCTCATGCAGATCCCTCACGCAGATCAGATCCCTCATGCAGATCCCTCATGCAGATCCCTCATGCAGATCCCTCATGCAGATCCCTCATGCAGATCCCTCATGCAGATCCCTCATGCAGATCCCTCATGCAGATCCCTCATGCAGATCCCTCATGCAGATCCCTCATGCAGATCCCTCACTGCAGATCCCTCATGCAGATCCCTCATGCAGATCCCTCATGCAGATCCCTCATGCAGATCCCTCATGCAGATCCCTCATGCAGATCCCTCATGCAGATCCCTCACGCAGATCCCTCATGCAGATCCCTCATGCAGATCCCTCATGCAGATCCCTCATGCAGATCCCTCATGCAGATCCCTCATGCAGATCCCTCCTGCAGATCCCTCATGCAGATCCCTCATGCAGATCCCTCATGCAGATCCCTCATGCAGATCCCTCATGCAGATCCCTCATGCAGATCCCTCATGCAGATCCCTCATGCAGATCCCTCATGCAGATCCCTCAATCCCTGCAGATCCCTCATGCAGATCCCTCATGCAGATCCCTCATGCAGATCCCTCATGCAGATCCCTCATGCAGATCCCTCATGCAGATCCCTCATGCAGATCCCTCATGCAGATCCCTCATGCAGATCCCTCATGCAGATCCCTCATGCAGATCCCTCATGCAGATCCCTCATGCAGATCCCTCATGCAGATCCCTCATGCAGGATCCCTCATGCAGATCCCTCATGCAGATCCCTCATGCAGATCCCTCATGCAGATCCCTCATGCAGATCCCTCATGCAGATCCCTCATGCAGATCCCTCATGCAGATCCCTCATCGCAGATCCCTCATGCAGATCCCTCATGCAGATCCCTCATGCAGATCCCTCATGCAGATCCCTCATGCAGATCCCTCATGCAGATCCCTCATGCAGATCCCTCATGCAGATCCCTCATGCAGATCCCTCATGCAGATCCCTCATGCAGATCCCTCATGCAGATCCCTCATGCAGATCCCTCATGCAGATCCCTCATGCAGATCCCTCATGCAGATCCCTCATGCAGATCCCTCATTGCAGATCCCTCATGCAGATCCCCAGATCCTCATGCAGATCCCTCATGCAGATCCCTCATGCAGATCCCTCATGCAGATCCCTCATGCAGATCCCTCATGCAGATCCCTCATGCAGATCCCTCATGCAGATCCCTCATGCAGATCCCTCATGCAGATCCCTCATGCAGATCCCTCATGCAGATCCCCTTCATGCAGATCCCTCATGCAGATCCCTCATGCAGATCCCTCATGCAGATCCCTCATGCAGATCCCTCATGCAGATCCCTCATGCAGATCCCTCATGCAGATCCCCATGCAGGATCCTCATGCAGATCCCTCATGCAGATCCCTCATGCAGATCCCTCATGCAGATCCCTCATGCAGATCCCTCATGCAGATCCCTCATCAGATCCCCTGCAGATCCCTCATGCAGATCCCTCATGCAGATCCCTCATGCAGATCCCTCATGCAGATCCCTCATGCAGATCCCTCATGCAGATCCCTCATGCAGATCCCTCATGCAGATCCCTCATGCAGATCCCTCCTGCAGATCCTCATGCAGATCCCTCATGCAGATCCCTCATGCAGATCCCTCATGCAGATCCCTCATGCAGATCCCTCATGCAGATCCCTCATGCAGATCCCTCATGCGGATCCCTCATGCAGATCCCTCATGCAGATCCCTCATGCAGATCCCTCATGCAGATCCCTCATGCAGATCCCTCATGCAGATCCCTCATGCAGATCCCTCATGCAGATCCCTCATGCAGATCCCTCATGCAGATCCCTCATGCAGATCCCTCATGCAGATCCCTCATGCAGATCCCTCATGCAGATCCCTCATGCAGATCCCTCATGCAGATCCCTCATGCAGATCCCTCATGCAGATCCCTCATGCAGATCCCTCATGCAGATCCCTCATGCAGATCCCTCATGCAGATCCCTCATGCAGATCCCTCATGCAGATCCCTCATGCAGATCCCTCATGCAGATCCCTCATGCAGATCCCTCATGCAGATCCCTCATGCAGATCCCTCATGCAGATCCTCATGCAGATCCCTCATGCAGATCCCTCATGCAGATCCCTCATGCAGATCCCTCATGCAGATCCCTCATGCAGATCCCTCATGCAGATCCCTCATGCAGATCCCTCATGCAGATCCCTCATGCAGATCCCTCATGCAGATCCCTCATGCAGATCCCTCATGCAGATCCCTCATGCAGATCCCTCATGCAGATCCCTCATGCAGATCCCTCATGCAGATCCCTCATGCAGATCCCTCGTGCAGATCCCTCGTGCAGATCCCTCGTGCAGATCCCTCATGCAGATCCCTCATGCAGATCCCTCATGCAGATCCCTCATGCAGATCCCTCATGCAGATCCCTCATGCAGATCCCTCATGCAGATCCCTCATGCAGATCCCTCATGCAGATCCCTCATGCAGATCCCTCATGCAGATCCCTCATGCAGATCCCTCATGCAGATCCCTCATGCAGATCCCTCATGCAGATCCCTCATGCAGATCCCTCATGCAGATCCCTCATGCAGATCCCTCATGCAGATCCCTCATGCAGATCCCTCATGCAGATCCCTCATGCAGATCCCTCATGCAGATCCCTCATGCAGATCCCTCATGCAGATCCCTCATGCAGATCCCTCATGCAGATCCCTCATGCAGATCCCTCATGCAGATCCCTCATGCAGATCCCTCATGCAGATCCCTCATGCAGATCCCTCATGCAGATCCCTCATGCAGATCCCTCATGCAGATCCCTCATGCAGATCCCTCATGCAGATCCCACATGCAGATCCCACATGCAGATCCCACATGCAGATCCCACATGCAGATCCCACATGCAGATCCCACATGCAGATCCCACATGCAGATCCCACATGCAGATCCCACATGCAGATCCCACATGCAGATCCCACATGCAGATCCCACATGCAGATCCCACATGCAGATCCCACATGCAGATCCCACATGCAGATCCCACATGCAGATCCCACATGCAGATCCCACTGTCAGATTGGCTACAGTCATGTAAATACAGTCACATACATGATACAGTCAATTTGATACTCTATCTCATCCCATAAATCGCCGCTCACAATATTAAGGTAGCCATCCTTCGTATCATGTGTGTTATAATAGTTGGCAACCACATCTGTTACAGTCACATCACATCCACACAGTCACATCACATCCACACAGTCACATCACATCCACACAGTCACATCACATCCACACAGTCACATCACATTCTTATACATGTATCACATACCTCATTGCCCATGAAGTTGAGGTAGCCGTCGCCTCCCAATGCCATGGTGATGAAATGAATCATCTGGGTGAGGGAGGGGAGGGGAGGGGAGAGAGGAGGGGAGGGGAGGAGAGGGGTAGCCGTCGCCTCCCAATGCCATGGTGATGAAATGAATCATCTGGGTGAGGGAGGGGAGGGGAGGGGAGAGAGGAGGGGAGGGGAGGAGAGGGGTAGCCGTCGCCTCCCAATGCCATGGTGATGAAATGAATCATCTGGGTGAGGGAGGGGAGGGGAGGGGAGAGAGGAGGGGAGGGGAGGGGAGGGGAGGGGAGGGGAGAGAGGAGGGGAGGGGAGGGGAGGGGAGACAGGAGGGGAGGGGAGGGGAGGGGAGGGGAGAGAGGAGGGGAGGGGAGGGGATGGGAGGGGAGAGAGGAGGGGAGGGGAGAGGGGAGGGGAGGGGAGGGGAGGGGAGAGAGGAGGGGAGGGGAGGGGAGGGGAGGGGAGAGAGGAGGGGAGGGGAGGGGAGAGGAGGGGAGAGGAGGGGAGAGGAGGGGAGGGGAGGGGAGGGAAGGGGAGAGAGGAGGGGAGGGGAGGGGAGAGGAGGGGAGAGAGGAGGGGAGGGGAGGGGAGGGGAGGGGAGAGGAGGGGAGAGGAGGGGAGAGGAGGGGAGGGGAGGGGAGGGGAGGGGAGAGGAGGGGAGGGGAGGGGAGGGGAGAGGAGGGGAGGGGAGGGGAGGGGAGGGAGGGGGAGGGAGGGGAGGGGAGTGGGGAGGAGGGGAGGGGAGGGGAGGGGAGAGGAGGGGAAGGATGGGAGGGAAGGGGAGGGGACGAGAGGAGGAGAGAGAAGGCAGGGAAAGGTCATTTGACTAATCCTACACTCACAAGCACGCACACATGCACCCACGCACGCACGCGCGCGCGCACACACACACACACACACATCACAGCAGCTCTCTCACCTTATGCCAGGCGACGCCCCTCTCGACAGCACGGGTTGGCTTCTCAAGTAGTGACATGTGGACAAGGGCACACGCACCCCTATTCCCCCCTCCCCACTCTTCCTTTTACAAACACACAGCAGCTCACCTTGTGCAAGGCAACGCCTCTCTCGACAGCAGGGGTGGGTTTCTCAAGCACGGACATGTGGAAATACATGTCTGAGTCCATGAGCAGAAAGGCGAATGACTTGTCTCCCACCATGGACTGGGGGAGAGGCGGGGACAAGAGAAGAGGGGGATGGAAGGGGGGACGGAGGGCACAAGGAGTAAGGGCGTTGGCTTCTCGAGCACGGACATGTGGAGGACATGTGGAAGTACATGTGTGAGTCGACTTTTGAGGCGCCTCAAAACACTGCCATGTGGAAATACATGTGTGAGTCCATGAGCAGGAAGGCGAACCAGTTGTCTCCCACCATGGACTGACAGGGGAGGGAGGGAAGGGGGCACAGGGCGCAAGGCACAAGGGAGTGAGGGTAACGAGAACAGGGGTTGACTTCTCAAGCACTGACATATGGAAGTACATGTGTGGGGATTTTTTCAGAATTCTCAAAAAATCCCTGCAACCTCGAGTACATGTGTGAGTCCATGAGGAGGAAGGCGAATGACTTGTCTCCCACCATGGACTGATGGAAGAGGGAGGAGGGTGGTGAGAGAGGGGAGAGAGGGGAACACAGGATACACGGGGCATGAAGGGAAAGAACGGTAACGACAGCAGGGGCGGATGGAAGTGGAATTGACGGGAGGCAACATGTGCTGAGAAGTGGGAAAACGACAACGACGCCTTGAGAATCTCACCTGCTCATGCCTCTCACCTGCTCGTGCCCCTTACCTTCATCTCACCAGACTTTTATCAAGCTCACCTGGTCATGGCTCTCCATGTATGCAACACACTTCTCCGTGTATCTCCGGTTGGTCAGCGTGTGCACAATCCAAGCGTGCTGCTCACCTGGACATCTGACCTTGATTGAAGATAGCTCACCTGGTCATGGCTCTCCGCATAGGCAACACATTTCTCCGTGTATCTCCGGTTCGTCAGCGTGTGAACAATCTCCTGCATGTTCACCTGCTTGTGCCTTTCACCTTGATCTCACCTGATTCTTATCAAGCTTACCTGGTCATGTCTCTCAGCGTAAGCAACACACTTCTCTGTGCATCTTCGGTTCGTCAGCGTGTGCATAACTCTCCCATGCTCACCTATATTTCACCTAATTCTCACCTTTCATCTTGATCTCACCTGGTCGTGGCTCTCAGCGTAAGCAACACACTTCTCCGTGTATCTCCGGTTCGTCAGCGTGTGCACAATCTCCCCCATACTCACCTGGTCATACCTCCCACGTTTCACCTTTGCTCGTGCCTCTCACCTGGTCATGGCTCTCCGCATATGCAACACACTTCTCCGTGTATCTCCGATTCGTCAGCGTGTGAACAATCTCCCGCATGCTCCACTCCTCGTCCCTCCGATCCTTCAAATACTCGATCCAACGGTCAGGAATCGCCATGGCAAGCCGGTAATCGAACCCCACCCCTCCGATCGGCACCGGCAGACCCAGCGTCGGCATCCCCGAAACATCCTCCGCGATCGTCGTCGCATCCGGCCGCACCCCGTGGATCAAATCATTCGCAAGCATGAGATAAACAACAGCATCCACATCTGTTGAAGTGGAGAAATACTCGTGGTAATCACCGGAAAACGACATTCCGATCCCGCGGTGGTGATACAGCATGGAAGTCACTCCATCAAACCTAAACCCGTCGAACTGAAACTCTTCGAGCCAGTACCGGAGGTTGGAGAGCAGGAATCGCAGCACCTCCCAATTAGAGTAGTTAAAGCACCGGCTGTCCCACAGCTTGTGGTACCCCCGCTCCCCCGTGTGGAAATACGAATCGGCAGCCGATTGCCCGAAATCAAACCCGTTGAGCCCGTCAGACGCATTATTACTCGCATGCGAGTGAATCAAATCCATGAACACGCGAATCCCGAGGGAATGCGCCGTATCGACCAGGTATTTGAGATCCTCCGGGGTGCCGGATCGGGAGCTGACGGCGAAGAAGTTGGTAACGTGGTAACCAAATGAGGCGTAGTAGGAGTGCTCGGCGACGGCCATGAGCTGGATGGTGTTGTAGCCAGCGGCCTTGATGCGAGGCAGCACCGAGTTGGCGAATTCCACATAGGACGCCACTCGGGGCTCCTCCGAGCTCATCCCCACGTGGGCCTCGTAGATGCGCGGGGCTTCGGGCTTGGGGGGGCGCGTGCACTTGAATTGGTACCTATAAAACGGGAGGGACGGGGAAGGGGGTTAACCGAAAGAGGCGTGGCCATGAGCTGGATGGTGTTGTAGCCGGCAGCCTTGATGCGTGGCAGCACCGAGTTGGCAAAATGCACATAGGACGCCACTCGGGGCTCCTCCGAGCTCATCCCCACGTGGGCTTCATAAATGCGAGGGGCATCGGGTTTAGGGGGACGAGGGCACTTCAACTGGTACCTGCAGGGATGGGGAAGGGGGGTGAGAAAAGAGTGAGGCACTGCTGCATGGTGGGAGAGAGTGTTCTGCTACAGCCGGGAGTGCTCGGCGACAGCCATGAGCTGGATGGTGTTGTAGCCGGCAGCCTTGATGCGTGGGAGTACAGAGTTGGCGAAATGCACATAGGAGGCCACTCGGGGCTCCTCCGAGCTCATCCCCACGTGGGCTTCATAGATGCGCGGGGCTTCGGGCTTGGGTGGGCGCGGGCACTTGAACTGGTACCTGCAGTGCAGGGAGCAGAAACAAGGGGGCGGGGAGAGGCGACAGGGGGTGGGAGGGAGAGGGGGTGTGTGTGTGGTGGTTGAAATATGCGCGTTAGATGGGATTGTTGAGAGACGAGGCTGCCATGAGCTGGCTGGTGTTCTAGCCGGCAGCCTTGATGCGTGGCAGCACCGAGTTGGCAAAATGCACGTAGGACGCCACTCGGGCCTCCTCTGAGCTCATCCCCACGTGGGCCTCGTAGATGCGGGGAGCAGCAGGTTTAGGTGGGCGCGGACACTTGAACTGGTACCTGTGGAAAGGGAAACGAGGGGGGTAAGTTAGAGATGGGGAGGGGTAGGAGGCCACTCGGGGCTCCTCCGAGCTCATCCCCACATGGGCCTTGTAGATGCGCGGGGCTTCGGGCTTGGGTGGGCGCGGGCACTTGAATTGGTACCTGCAGGGGAACGGAGGCAAGGGGAAGGGGTTGGGAAGGGGTTGGGAAGAGAGTGGGGCATTGCTGATTGGTAGGTGGGAGTGGTGGGAAAGATGGGAGTGTTGGGAAAGATGGGAGTGGTGGGAAAGATGGGAGTGTTGGGAAAGATGGGAGTGTTGGGAAAGATGGGAGTGGTGGGAAAGATGGGAGTGGTGGGAAAGATGGGAGTGGTGGGAAAGATGAGAGTGTGCAGCGACGGCCATGAGCTGGACGGTGTTGTAGGCGGCGGCCTTGATGCGTGCGTGCGTGGGAGCACCGAGTGGTGGGTGCTGGGCGTAGTAGGAGTGTTCGGCCATGAGCTGGTATGAGCTGGATGGTGTTGTAGCCGGCGGCCTTGATGCGTGCGTGGGAGCCAGGGTACCTCCCCTCTCCTCACACAAGCTCACTAACCGCTCGTTAGCCAGAGGATCCAGTAGATTCTACCATCATAGCACACACACATCTTCCCCGGCTCGCCCGCGTGACCCACCAGATCGAAACAGTGGTATGCGCTTCGCCCACCCAGGGCACATGTATACATCCTCAACACAAGCTCACGTCCCTCTCAAAAGCTCACCTCTCATTGGCCGGGGGGTCCCAGTAGATGCCATCGTAGCACGCCCCCATCTTCCCCGGCTCGGCTGTAGCCCATTAGATCCAAGCCGGGATTCGCTCCACCCACCCGCCGTCCCCCTTGACCACACAAGCACACAGACTCACCTTCCCCTCTCGCACACAAGCTCAGTCAAACCATTATTCACTTCTCATTGGCCGGAGGGTCCCAGTAGATGCCATCGTAGCACGCGCCCATCTTCCCCGGCTCAGCTGTGGCCCATTTGATCCAAGCCGGGATTCGCTCCACCCACCCGCCGTCCCCCTTGACCACACAAGCACACAGACTCACCTTCCCCTCTCGCACACAAGCTCAGTCAAACCATTATTCACTTACTTCTCATTGGCCGGAGGGTCCCAGTAGATGCCATCGTAGCACGCGCCCATCTTCCCCGGCTCAGCTGTGGCCCATTTGATCCAAGCCGGGATTCGCTCCACCCATCCACCATCCCCCTTCTGCAGCCGAATCTTCACCCGCGATCCGTGCGCGATCGCCGGGCGGCCGACTCTGTCTGGTAGCCGCACAGACCACACGCCAAAATGGTTGCGCTCCATCCAGCACGACTCGCCGTTCCACCCGTTGAAGTCTCCCACTAGCTGGGCGGCTCTGTGAGTGTAACAAGAAGAAGGGGGGAGGGTTTGGGGGAGGGGAAGAGGGAAGGAGAAGGGAAGAGGGAAGGAGAAGGGAAAGAGCAGATTAGGTTTGGTGTGTCTGTATGGTTGCTGCACGGACCACATAAAGGGAGATGGAAGAGGGAAGGGGAGTGGGCACGGGAAGGGGAGTGGGTACGGGAAGGGGAGTGGGTACGGGAAGGGGAGAGGGTACGGGAAGGGGAGAGGGTACGGGAAGGGGAGAGGGTACGGGAAGGGGAGTGGGCACGGGAAGGGGAGTGGGCACGGGAAGGGGAGTGGGCACGGGAAGGGGAGTGGGCACGGGAAGGGGAGAGGGTACGGGAAGGGGAGAGGGTACGGGAAGGAGTGGCACGGGAAGGGGAGTGGGCACGGGAAGGGGAGTGGGCACGGGAAGGGGAGTGGGCACGGGAAGGGGAGTGGGCACGGGAAGGGGAGTGGGCACGGGAAGGGGAGTGGGCACGGGAAGGGGAGTGGGCACGGGAAGGGGAGTGGGCGCGGGAAGGGGAGTGGGTACGGGAAGGGGAGTGGGCACGGGAAGGGGAGTGGGTACGGGAAGGGGAGTGGGTACGGGAAGGGGAGTGGGCACGGGAAGGGGAGTGGGTACGGGAAGGGGAGTGGGCACGGGAAGGGGAGTGGGCACGGGAAGGGGAGTGGGCACGGGAAGGGGAGTGGGCACGGGAAGGGGAGTGGGTACGGGAAGGGGAGTGGGTACGGGAAGGGGAGTGGGCACGGGAAGGGGAGTGGGTACGGGAAGGGGAGTGGGTACGGGAAGGGGAGTGGGTACGGGAAGGGGAGTGGGCACGGGAAGGGGAGTGGGTACGGGAAGGGGAGTGGGTACAGGAAGGGGAGTGGGTACGGGAAGGGGAGTGGGTACGGGAAGGGGAGTGGGTACGGGAAGGGGAGTGGGTACGGGAAGGGGGGCAAGGGGAAAGAGGAGATCAGGTTTGGTGTGTCTGTCTAGCGCGCGGACCACACGCCGAAGCTGGGCGGCACTGTGAACGTAAAAAAGGGGGTTAGGAGGAGGAGGAGGGGGGCGGAAGAGTGGATAAGGTGGTTTTCTAGTCAGTCAAGTCAACCCTCAATCCACCCGTTACAGTCAACCACCAGCTGAGCCGCACTGTGATTGCACGGGGGGCGAAATGGGAGAGAAGGGGGGCAAAGGGAGAGGGGAAGAGTGAATAAAGTGTCTTTCTTCAAAAAGAGCAGCTATTACCTCGTTCCACTAGCTGGGCCACGCTGTGATTGTACGGGGGGGAGAAAGGGGTGAGGGGAGGGAAGCGGAAGGAGTATCAGATGCGGTTAACTAGCAGAACTCGCCGTTCCACCCGTTACAGTCACCCACCAGCTGGGCTGCACTGCGATTGTAACAGACAACGTGTTCCTTCCAGGTATGCATCAGAGAAACATGTGAGAGCAACATGTGAGAAATACTCAAGTTCTGATTTTAAGTTGACGATTCTGTTCAATCTGGCTCTCTAATACGCTCTAGCTCACAAGCTTTCCAGGCTCTCTCATCTTTTCATTTCATGGAGTTTGCTTCGTCGTCCTAAGACACAGTTTAAGTTGATGGACATAAGACCTCCGCAGCCCACCTGTTTACCACTGAGAGCAACATGTGCCTTCTCTATAGGCAATGCGTGCCTTCCAGGTATACATGAGAGCAACGTGTAAGCGTAACATGTACGTTTTCTGTATGCATGTGAGCAACGTGTAAGCGCAACATGTACGTTTTCTGTATGCATGAGAGCAATGCGTGCCTTCCATGTCTGCATGAGAAAAACATGCCACCTCCCATGCCACAGGCAATCATGAGAATATTATGCGCTTACACGAACGACTTCACCTAGTTCAGCGAGGACATAAGTGCGCATGGGTGAAGTCGGTCGCGTAAGCACACATAGTCCCCATCCATCACTGCCTGTGGCATGCGAAAATAACAGGTTGCTCTCATGCATACATGGGAGGCATGTGTTGCTCTCATGCATACATGGGAGGCATGTGTTGCTCTCATGCATACATGGGAGGCATGTGTTGCTCTCATGCATACATGGGAGGCATGTGTTGCTCTCATGCATACATGGGAGGCATGTGTTGCTCTCATGCATACATGGGAGGCATGTGTTGCTCTCATGCATACATGGGAGGCATGTGTTGCTCTCATGCATACATGGGAGGCATGTGTTGCTTGTCAGAATATGTTGTATTTGTCTAGCTTGCAGTGGGGTACTCAATAGTGAGTACAGCCCAATCTAGGGTTTCCTATATGTACTCAACTGCTTGCTAGTGAAAATCCTCTTTCTCCTTTCTAACTTTCAACTGTTATTCAACATGGAATCAGAGCAGGTCGACCCTCACGGGTCGATCCTGTGGATGGGCCCACCCAATGCTTCCGCTGCTGCTGTCCTGTCTGTCGCGCGCCCCGTGGCGCGCAACGTTTTTTCTTCCCGCCACGCGCTCCGAGCGCGTGGCGGTTTTCTGCCCGCCGTGCGCCCCGAGGCGCGCGGCGGTTCTCTGCCCGCCGTGCGCCCCGAGGCGCGCGACGTTTTGCTTTCGCACACTGCGCCCTAGGGGCCCGCGCGTCGCCCCCCCCCATCCCGTCGCCCGTCGAGGCGCCCTAGGGGGCCGCGCGTCGCCCCTCCCGTGGCTCGTTGCGGCGCCCTGGGGGGGCCGCGCGCCGCCCCCCCCGTCGCCCGTCGAGGTGACCTGGGGGGCCGCGCGTCGCCCCCCCCGACGCACGTTGAGGTGACCTGGGGGGCCATGCGCCCCCCCCCCCCCCTCCCCCCTTTTCCCGTCGCCAGTCGAGACGACCCGGGGGGGGGGGCGCGCGACAGAAGGGGGCCGCGCGTCGGCCCCTCCCGTCTTCGTCGCGGCCCTGCCCGGCCCTGCCGTCCTGTCCCCGGCCCTGTCCCGGCCCTGCCCTGCCCGGCTCTGCCCTGCTGCCGCCCCTGCTGCGGCCCTACCCTGTGTTGGGGTTTGGGGGTGGCGAGTATGGGGGTGAAGGATGTGTGCGGTCTCCCCTGCTCCTCCTCCTCCTCCGTCTCCCACTGCTGCAGCTGCCGCTGAGGGGGGTGGGTGTGTGGGAGAAGATGGAGTGGTACTAAGGGGGTGGCGTGTAAGCAGTGCTAGAGGTACCGCAGGGGGTGTCTGAAAGGGGGGGTGGGACAGTTTGGGGAGGTTGGACGGAGGTAGCCGTTGTGTCGCCAGCAGCGCCAGTAGTCCGGAGGCTACAATCTCCGGTAGCCCAGCGAGCCTGCTGCGTCAGTCGCCCGTGGGTCTGTTGCTCCTGCCGCTCAGAGTTAGCCGCGGAGCCAGTTACTCCAGTAGTCCGGAGGCTACAATCTCCGGTAGCCACAGTGCGCGCCGTTCCTGTTGCCCGTGTGTCTGCAGCTTCACCCGTCTCCTCCTACCTCCTCTCCTCTCATAGTCCCTCCTCCTCCTCACTTGCCCTCTGTGATAGTTTTTAGCTTTGCTTATATTTGTGAACTATTGTTCTGCCTGTGAACTGGCCTTGTGGCCTTGTACTTGTGCTCAGAATGTGTGGTGACATTGTGATCCACCTTGAGCTTGTTTTTGTTTTGCTTGCTTGTGCTGATTACACTCCACTTTGGCTATGGGGGTGTGTCAGAATATGTTGTGTTTGTCTAGCCTGCAGTGGGGTACTCAATTGTGAGTACAGCCCAATCTAGGGTTTCCTATATATACTCAACTGCTTGCTAGTGAAAATCATCTTTCTCCTTTCTAACTTTCAACTGTTATTCAACATTGCTCTCATGCATACATGGGAGGCATGTGTTGCTCTCATGCATACATGGGAGGCATGTGTTGCTCTCATGCATACATGGGAGGCATGTGTTGCTCTCATGCATACATGGGAGGCATGTGTTGCTCTCATGCATACATGGGAGGCATGTGTTGCTCTCATGCATACATGGGAGGCATGTGTTGCTCTCATGCATATATTGGAGGCATGTGTTGCTCTCATGCATACATGGGAGGCATGTGTTGCTCTCATGCATATATGGGAGGCATGTGTTGCTCTCATGCATACATGGGAGGCATGTGTTGCTCTCATGCATACATGGGAGGCATGTGTTGCTCTCATGCATACATGGGAGGCATGTGTTGCTCTCATGCATATATTGGAGGCATGTGTTGCTCTCATGCATACATGGGAGGCATGTGTTGCTCTCATGCATACATGGGAGGCATGTGTTGCTCTTATGCATAGATGGGAGGCATGTGTTGCTCTCATGCATACATGGGAGGCATGTGTTGCTCTCATGCATATATGGGAGGCATGTGTTGCTCTCATGCATATATGGGAGGCATGTGTTGCTCTCATGCATACATGGGAGGCATGTGTTGCTCTCATGCATATATGGGAGGCATGTGTTGCTCTCATGCATATATGGGAGGCATGTGTTGCTCTCATGCATACATGGGAGGCATGCGTTGCTCTCATGCATACATGGGAGGCATGTGTTGCTCTCATGCATATATGGGAGGCATGTGTTGCTCTCATGCATACATGGAAGGCACAAGTTGCTCTTACACAATGTTCTCATACATACCTGGAGGATTATGTCTTTGCTTGGTGTATGACTCGTGTGGCAGTATGGACTTTTAAGAAGAGACCTCACGTGGTGGCGGCAGAGCCTTAAAGCCCAGCTCACCCCTTGCAACTCACGTGGCAGCAGGGCCTTAAAGCCCAGCTCACCCCTTGCAACTCACGTGACAGCAGGGCCTTAAAGCCCAGATCACCCCTTGCAACTCACGTGACAGCAGGGCCTTAAAGCCCAGCTCAACCCTTGCAACTCACGTGACAGCAGGGCCTTAAAGCCCAGCTCACCCCTTGCAACTCACGTGACAGCAGGGCCTTAAAGCCCACATCACCCTTTGCAACTCACGTGGCAGCAGGGGCCCACTCGCGGTAGACTATGGCGTCCTTCTCCCGCGTGAAGCCCATCGTCTCATACCCTGCCAGCCACGCACAGCCACATGCAAACAACAAGCAGAGGGAAAGCAAGACGTCAACAATGAATCAACAGAGAAAAAAATGCTCCAGCCCCCCTTTCGTGCTGCTCCAGCGCCCTCTTGAGCTTGAGGAGCTGGGCGTAGCAGTAGCGCAGGAGGGGCTCGTGGGACACCAGCAGGTGGGGGGTAGGTGGGGAGGCAGGGAGGGGATGGTGGTCCGAACTGGATGATAACTCTTACTTGGCCCACCCTTCCACGAATGGCTCACCTCGGGAGAACTGCTCCAACCCCCCTTCATGCTGCTCCAGCGCCCTCTTGAGCTTGAGGAACTGTGCATAGCGGTAGCGCAGGTGGGGCTCGTGGGACGCCAGCAGGGGGTCGGCCTTGACCACAGCGAGTCCGTCCGGGGAGTATTCCACCTCGTTGAAGATTAGAGGAGCAGCATCCCTTGCTGTGAAGCCTGGGTTGTCGCCCGGAGCAGAGCGGAGGGGCAGCAGGCGGCGCACTGGGAAGACTGTGCGGCTTACATGGCACCTGGTGGTCTGAGAGGGGGAGTGGGAGGTGGGTGGGGGAGAGGGGTGTGAGAGAGGTGGGCGAGAGAGCGGCGCAGAGAGCAGAGCGCAGGGGCGGCAGGCGGTACACTGGGAAGACTGTGCGGCTTATCCGCAGCAGGCTACAATCCCTTACCCCGCTTCCACCCTTCGTCCCAATACTCACCCCAACACCGCTCCACATCAAACAGGTGGGACCCTTGTGCCTGCCCTCCCTCCTCTCCCTCGTTTCCCTCCTCGCCACCACCTGCTGCAGCCCACTCCTCCCCCCCTGAGAATAAGAGGGAGAAAGAAATAGAGGAAACAGTTGAGAGGGGAAAAGGTTGAAAGAGGTGATAAGGGAGCACGGGTGCATACCTATAGCAAAAGAGGCTCTGAAATGGCCTGAAATGGTAAAATAGCAGGTCGCTGTAACCTTCGTCAACAGGGTGTGGAGTCCGAGAGGTAGGACAGACAGAGTGGAGGAGGCGGGCGCGCTCAAGCACGGAAACATGGGTGCAGACCTAAAGCACGGAACACCTCTATAATATTACCTGAACCGGCGAGGGAGCAGGTCACTGTAACCTTCGCGGCAAAGGAGTGGCGCCCGAGAGGAAGGACGGAGTAGGGGCGACACACGCACTCGAGCACAGGAACATGGGTGCAGGCCGATAGCAAACACACGCCAAGAAACACACAAGTCTAACGAAGGGGGAAAGCTGGACACCTGAGGTTAGCCTAGCACGGCAGGAGGAACTACAGAAGCAAATTTAAGATGACCTAAATCAGCTCTTGGACTCGGGACGACCTAAAGGAATCGCGAATCAGCTGGCGAGATCTCCGGAATTCACAATCGCCTGAAGGGTGAGAATCAATCCCTAGATCGCTAACCGCAGAGGAATTCCTGAGATCTTGAAAGCCCGATTGGGAAAAAAAAAAAAAAAAAAAAAAAAAAAAAAACTCTAGTTCTGGAGGTCCGTCCTATAGCTAGAGGCTCGATTCCCCTGAAACGCAGACTCCAACCGCGCTGCTGCGAGAAGGTTCGCCGAAGGTGCACCTCCTGCCCCTCCGCTGGTTCCGGGAGCACTAGCTGCAGCGGCGGCGGCGGCGGCAGCGAGTCGTCTGGCTTCAAAATACTCCTCCCGATCCTCCGGTTTCAGCTCAATTCGCGTGGGATTGCGACGAAGCATCGGTGGTGAACGTCAAGCGACCATCAATTATGCAATTAGTGAAACGAACAATTAACTGAACCGGCCGTGCTATCGTGGCTGAATGGCTCGATGATAAGTCAACGAAGAGAATTACGGGATTCAGCCGTGAACATTCAACAGGTTCCCGGAATGCAAACCACCAAACTTGATTCCTGCCTTATCCGCCTGGCTTCCTGTCGGAGACAGAATCACGTGTGGAGAACACCAGCGAGAATAATCCTCCTCGAACACTGAACATCAAGTGTCCCCACCTGCGTCTGATCAGGTCAATGGCAGTAAGGATGGGATGGGATGAGAGTGGTGGAGAACGGCGAGGCAATGTTCGTGGGAGTGAAGAATGGGGCAAGAACCAAGGCTTCAATTTGTCATGGCTCGCTGGTGAGATGTTTTTCGCAGCTCGATGTTCTCTTCCCCCGCAACGAACTCAGTCCGAGTTACCATCTCTCCGTCGCACGTGCTTCGTACATCCCTAGGTCCATCGCCCCAAAATCAAGAGTCTTCTAGAGCAAACCCCAATGTGCGGAGTGCGGAGCGCGTGTGGTGGATAGGGGAGAAGAGGTAAATGGCGGGGGGGATGGCGCGGTCTTCACCCTTTCGCAAGCGGCGCTCGCCACCAACCGAGGGGAGCGCAAGGTAAGAGTCTGGAAACTACCGGAACAAATAGCTTGCAACAGAGAAATACACGCAACAGGCGTACGCAGAAAACGGACTTTTATTATTCACTTCCAACTTGAGCATCCTAGTATTCATATACTCCAAACAGTCACTTCACTGTACGTACTGTTTGTATAAAACGGTGAATCAGTGTACATTCCTGCCTTGACGTGTCTTCCAAATTCCCAGTGGTAACAAATACTTGCACTTCGATGTATAGACATTGTTGGACTTCATCAGCCCAACAGTGGTTATGGTATGTTACACACCATGTACACAACACCGGCTGTGTCAAACTGCATTATATGCTTGTAGGTTGTATTGGGGTAGCCCATATAGGGTACAACCCTTTTAGGTTTGCATACTTGCATCTCACTACTGCCAGTCACCCATCATTCCGCTGTTCTCATTTCGACATGGTATCATGCGCTAGGTTAGGTCCGACTGCCGAACCTATTACCGAACCTACGACTAGGTCCGATTGCCGAACCTACTACCGAACCTACGACTAGGTTAGGTTTGCCCCGCTGCCCCGCGCCTCGAGCGCCACTGCCCCACCGCCCTGATGCCCGCGCGCCCCGCGTGCCCTGCTGCCCTGCGCGCCCTGCGGGCCTTGCTGCCCTGCGCAGCCCTGCCCTGCGCGTCGTGCTGCCCTGCCTGCGCCTTCACACTGCCCTGCCCACGGCGTCGCGCTGCCCTGCCCCACGCGTCGCGCTGCCCTGCCCGCCCGCGCGTCGCGCTGCCCTGCCCGCCCGCGCGTCGTGCTGCCCTGCCCGCTCGTGCGTCGCACTGCCCTGCCCGCCAGCGCGCCCTGCTGCCCATGCGCCATGCGCGCCTTGCTGCCCCGTGCGCCCCGCGCGCCCTGCTGCCCTACGCGCCCCGCACGCCCTGCTGCCCCGCGGGCTCTGCCCCTGCTGCCCTGCGCGCACTGCCGCTGCTGCTGCCGCCATCTGCTGCCGCCTGCAGCCGCCCTAGGTGCTGCCGCCCTTGCTGTCGCCTATGCACGCTGCTACAGTCGCTGCCGCTCCTACTTCTGCCGCTGCTGCCACTGCACCTGTCATTTCAGCTACCGCCGCTGCAGTCGTTACTTCAGCCCTTGTGCCGCTACTGCTGACTGTCGCCGCCTGTCATGGCCACTATCATTGTCCTATCGGTTGACGCAGACAGGCGCCCTTTCATATTCGAGTTGTGGCTCGCCGGCCTGCGCCGGTATCTCCGGCGTTTCGTTAGAGATTGTGTTTCCCTACTCGAGCAGACGTCGGGGTCCCTTCAAGCCCCCACGACTCCCACTGAGCCTGCTGCTGACGTTGGAGAGGACGTGCAGTGCCGGTGCCGGGCGGACCGCCTTGCCTACACGCAGTGGACGGAGTGCGACGCTGTCGCATAGCTTGCCGTCCAAGCTCACCTACCGGTCGACCAGCGGGCCCATTTTCACCAGGTGACGTCGGCCCAGACTTTTTACGATGCTGTGGTTATACACTACTCCTCCCTCTCTCCTACCACCCGGCCACTGCGTATGCACCTTCCGTTGTTAGGGGAGGTGCAGTAGCTAGTCGAGGAGGCGAGTGTAGGTACTTGTGGGTCTACTCGTACAGGTGGTGCAGTTGGTGGAGGCGGAGGTTTTGGGGGTGGACAGCTGCGGCAGCAGTGTCAGCAGGAGACAGTCCCTAGTGGTGTAGAGTCTGCTAGTCTAGGTGCATGTGAGCCTGCTAGCACAGGTGCAGCTCCTGTAGAGGCTTTGCACACCTTCACGCTTGACTCCGGTGCGACTCGCTGCTTCTTCCGCGACTGCACCACGGACACACCGCTCACTACACCTGTCCCAGTCACTCTGGCTGACCCCTCTAGGGGCCTAGTCGTTGCACGGGCCTCCACCGTTCTCCCGTGTATGGCAGCCCCTTCCGACTCCCTCACACGTTTCCACCTCCCCTCGTTCGCTAAGAACTTGGCGAGTACAGTTGTCCTCCAGGACCTGTTTGTCACTGTGACTACTCCTGGGGGTGAGCTTGGGGCGATCTGTACAGACTCACAGACTGGCGCCCTCCTCGCCATGTTCACTCCGAGACCCGGGTCTGGCCTGTACACATTGACTACCGAGTCTGCACAGGTAGCTGCGTCTGGTCAGGTAGCTGCGTCTTGCTCGTGTCGGATACTCACGCACCCATCTCTTCTCTCGCACCACCGTCTAGGTCACCCCTCCCTGTCGTGTCTGCGTAGCATGCACTCTTGTCTCCTTGTCTCTGGGCTCCCCAGGTCCCTGCCCCCGCTCCCGCGGTCGCCTGCACCACTGTGCTTTCATTGCATTGAGGGGCGGCAGCGTGCCGCTCCTCACTCCTCCTCGTTTCCTCCGGCCACTGCTCATCTGCAGACTATCCACATGGATGTGTGGGGCCCCGCCCGTGTCAGTGGATTGGACCGAGAGCGCTACTTTCTGCTGGTTGTTGACTACACTCGCTACACCACGGTCTTCCCCTTGTAGTGCAAGGCGGATGTCCGCACTGTCTTGATCCCTTGGATCCGCGCTGTCCGTTGACGATTGAGCGTACGGTTCCAGCAGGACCTCCAGGTCCTGCGCCTGCACTCTGACCGAGGTGGTGAGTCTTTCTCTCGCCTCCTTGAGGACTTTTGTTGTGCGGAGGACATTGCACAGTCATTCACGCTTCCGACCTCCAGAATTGGATTGCTGAGCGCCGCATTGGCTTGATCATGGAGGTTGCTCGCACCTCCATGATCCATGCAGCTGCTCCCCATTTTCTGTGGCCGTTTGCGGTCCGATACGCCACGCATCAGCTCAACCTCTGGCCCCGTGTCTCCGTGCCAGAGACCTCGCCTACACTGCGTTGGACGGGGGAGGTTGGCGATGCGTCGGTGTTTAGGGTATGGGGCTCGCTTTCCTTTGTCCACCCACCGCGGGCAAGCTCTCTTCTTGCACTGCTCGCTATGTCTTCCTCGGCTTTCCCACCGACGCGCCTGGCTAGCAGTTTTACCACCCAGCCTCGCGTAGTGTCTTGTCTTTTCAAGACGTCACATTTGACAAGCCAGTTGGCTTCTACTGTCTCCACCCCCACGCGTCTTCTCCTGTCCCCCCGCCGCCCCTCTTCCTGGTTCCAGGTCCCCCCCCGGTAGACCCTCTCCCCCCACAGGGTCGTGCTCCTTCAGGTGTCTCTCAGGTTGACCCACCCTCCTTGGTTGAGCCTTTGGAGGTCTCCCCTGACACCTCTGGCCCAGCTGAGGGGGGTGACCCTGTTGTTGATGACACAACGGCCACTCGCCACTCACCGCGCTAGGAGACCCCTCCTGGTTTTCCGCCTCGGCTGTCTTCGCCGCCTCTGCAGCCTGTCGCTGTAGACTCTGGTGCTGCTAGAGGTGGTGACCCTGAGGGTGCGGACTCTGGGGGTGCTGGTTCTGGGGGTGCTGCGAGTCCTACTGGTGGCAGAGTCGTAACCACTCCTGCTAGAGACTCTGGGAGTGGACATCAGCAGCATCCGAGTCGGCAGGAGACTCTCTCGTCGCAGCAGCTTCGCGAGTCGGCTGTCCGGTGGGGCAGCCTCGGTGGCGGAGCTTGGGGTGCTGGTGCTGGAGGTGCTGGTGCTGGAGGTGCTGGTGCTGGAGGTGCTGGTGCTGGAGGTGCTGGTGCTAGAGGTGCTGGTGCTGGAGGTGCTGGTGCTGGAGGTGCTGGTGCTGGAGGCTCTGGTGCTGGAGGTGCTGGTGTTGGAGGTGCTGGTGCTGGAGGTGCTGGTGCTGGAGGTGCTGGTGCTGGAGGTGCTGATGCTGGGGGTGCTGGTGCTGGAGGTGCTGGTGCTAGGGGTGCTGGTGCTGGAGGTGTTGGTGCTGGAGGCGCTGGTGCTGGAGGTGCCAGAGGTTTTGGAGGTGCTGGTGCTAGTGGTCCTAGTGCACGTTGCTAGGAGACTCTCTCGCCGCAGCAGCTTCGCGAGTGGGCTGTCCGGTGGGGCAGCCCTGGTGGCAGAGTTGGAGCTACTAGTGTTAGGGGTGCTGGTACTATTGCAGCTGGAGGTGCTGGTGCTGGAGCTGGAGGTCCTGCCGAACCCGTCACTAGAGGTTCTGGGGGTGCGACTATTCAGCAGCAGCCGTTTGCGCTTCGCCACCTTCTTAGTCTCCTGCCCGCTATTACTGAGTTCCTTGTTGCTCGTACTACTCCTCCGTTACTGTTTCCACCGGCTAACCCATCTCAGCCACTGTTACTGCCTAACTCCCGACGGCCTGCTCCGACTCCTTACACTAAGGTGGAAGATTCCTTGTCTGAGAATAGAGAGCTTGCGTTGCCTCATGTCACGCTTGTTCGTACTCGTCGTGCTCCTCGTGCTCACCCTCCTCCTATCCCCGGCACTCACACTATGGCACTTCGTCCTTCCTCTGTTCCACAGCGTGTAGTCATGCTTTCGCCGCCTGCATTTTCTCGTCCTGACTTCCCTGACCCTGAGTCAGACCTTGCTCGTGCTGCTAGTCCTACTGTCACGCGTGTCCTGACCACACTTGTCCCTGACCCTTCCTTTGCGTCGACTGTTGCGTCTGCCTCAGTCATTGAGCTTGTTAACTTCGCTTCTGCTTGTCGTCTTGATTACTTCGCGAGTCTTGTTACTGAGTCTGAGTCTGACCGTCCTGCGTACGTTGGGGGTGAGCTTGCCCTTGGCTGTGACATCCTTGAGGACAGACAGTTTGAGCTCGAGTACCTTGTGGGTGTTGTTCCCCATCTCGCTCCCATGCTTCTTACCCTTGTGGGAGACCCGGATGCACTAGACATCCCAATCCTGCGCTCTTATGCAAATGTGATTTCGGGTCAGTACTCCTCTCAGTGGCAGACACCCACGGACGCAGAGATGACTTCCTAGAAGTCCACAGGCACCTACGTCGACGAGGTTCCCCTCCTAGGGCAAACATAGTCGATGGCATGTGGATTTTCAGGGTGAAGCGGCCGCCGGGCTCTCCGCCTGCGTTCAAGGCGCGTTACGTTGCACGAGGCTTCAGTCAACGACAGGGGGTCGACTTGACTCTGACTCAGTCACACATGGCGCACCAGGTCCTTCAGCGCTTTGGCTTCCAGTTCTCCTCGCCATAGTCCACTCCTCTGCCTACAGGCCACTCGCTCTTAGCTCCACCTTCAGACGAGTCCATAGAGCTGAGTGGTCAATATTCAGAGCTTGTGGGCTACCTCATGTACCTGATGACTTGCACTCGACCTGACCTCGCGTACCCTCTCAGCCTCCTGGCTCGCTACGTGGCTCCCGGTAGACAGTGACCAGAGCATTGGCGTGCTGCTACGAGGGTGCTGCGTTACTTGTGCAGTACATCGAGCATGGGGCTTGTGCTTGGAGGACGAGGCTCAGTTGTACTCACAGGACACTCAGACGCTTCTTGGGCCGACGACCAGGCGACTCAGCGGTCGTCACAGGGTTACACTTTCAGCATCGGCTCTGGTTCTGTCGCCTGGAGGTCCACCCGCTCGTCTTCTGTTCTCAGCCCCAATTGTGAGGCTGAGATCTACGTGGGGGCCATGGCAGCATAGGAGTTACGCTGGCTGACCTACTTGCTGACAGACTTGGGTGAGCGGCCTTGTTCTACTCCGGTTCTATACGTCAACAACAAGGCCTCGATTGCCTTGTGTCGGGAGCAGAGACTGGAGCACCGAATGAAGCATATCGCTCTTCGCTACTTCCTCACTCGAGAGTTACAGCAGCGCAGTCAGCTTTGCCTTGCTTACGTGGTCTCACGGGCCAAACACTGGTGATATTTTCACCAAGGCACTTGTGTCTGGTGATTATCAACGTTTTTGCACTGCTCTAGGCCTACTGCCTACTTTGCCTCACTTGCTTACTGCTTGACTTTGTCTTGTACTGTGATATCTAAACATTTATACCAGTATGCTTACTCTTGCTAGGTTGTGTTCACTGTACTGCTTGTGCTTTTATAACTCTGCATGTGAACTGGCCTTGTGGTCGCTTGCTTGTGCTCAGACTCCGTGGTGATCTTGAGATCTACCCTGAGCTTTGCTTTGCTTTGCTTCTTTGCTTGACTGGTCTTGTGACCATTGGTTGTTCTTGCTATCCCCCACTTTGTCTATTGGGGTAGCCGATATATGGTACAACCCTTTTAGGGTTGCGTACTCGTATCTCACTATTGCTAGGCACCAGGGCTTTTATTTTTTATTTTCTCTACTCGGATTTTCAGAGTTGTTATTTTGGGAGCTCTGAAACTCAGGGTGGATCATGAGCGTTACTATGATTTGTCAGAGAAAACTTAACTTCTGAAAAAAAAAAAAAAAAAAAAATGGACAGTCAGTGTACCAATTTTCCCAACTCTGAATGTCCTCTCAAGCAGTGCCTATTTTATCAGTGTAATTCACACTTCTATACTGATTATAAGGGTGAAATTTATAGCCTGCACTGATGTGTTGGGGTAATTTTTTGGCGGATTAGTGTTACACCGATATGTCAGTGTAACGATTTAGGCCACACTGATGCTCTGGGGTAATATTTTCCTTAGCGATACTCTGAAGTGAAGAGCGAGAGCTCCCCCCCCCCCCCCCCCCCCCCCCCCCCCCCCCCCCCCCCACGCCACCCCTTCATGAAACTCGACTTATCGAGACGAAGTTTCCTGGAAATTTCGTCCTGATACACCAAATTTCGTAATGATGCACTACAGCGCCAGCACGTTAGTACTGACAACCAGGGTCCTCGCTATGATTCAAAGGTGCCGCCTGATCCATCAGCTTTTTCGTTTTTTTCCAGTCTGACGCGTCAATTTTTTTTACCAAGGCCTGTTTGACCAATCAAAGTAGAATCTCTCGTTTCTTGTTACAACAAGTGGGACCGACAAGTAGATTCATTCTTGACCTGCCACGCCAAATTCGAATTGTCAGTGCATTTTCAAACTATCACAGTAGAGATCATGCAGATTCGACCTATTACAGTAGAGAAATATGCAAATTCGATCGATCACGCCAGAGATTCGTCTGTCACAGCAGATTTTATCGTAAATCACCCTGGATTAGCATGTTTCAGTTTCAGATGGAACACAAAACTGCCTACAGTACAATCAGGGTAAAAAAAATACATACATTGATGCTTCTGGGTATTTTTTTCAAAACTTCAAGTTACACTGATCCATCAATGTAACCAAAAAGGACACACTGCTCAAAAGGGTTTTGAAAACGGCTACACTGCTAATCATGAGTAGCCAAAATCCAAAGATAGGCCCTGCTCTCAAGTATTGAACCAACGCCTTTCGTGCTCCTACAAAAACTATTACCTTCGTGCTATGCGCTCACCACACAATTGAGAGATGCACGTATCATGTAGATAAGTAATTCTGCTTGCCATTTCCCACCAAGTCAAGGGGGGGGCTCGGTCGAAATTTCTGTACACTGTACAGAGAAAAATGCATTCGCCAGAAATTTACACTGGTCTATCAGAGTACCTAAAGCAGGCCCTACGATATCAGGATTTTTTCCCTGAAATTCTTGATTTTCAGCCTAGTTTTGTGTACCTACACTGAATTTTCAGTGTTGAGATTTTTGTGACACTGATTTTTTCAGCCTTTACTTCATAGCTAACACTGATGTTTCAGACTTTTATCGAAGTGTACACTGAATGCACATTCCGAATCCTTCCCGTAAAACACCCGAGACAATAAGTCAACCAACATTTTCACAATTTAAAAACAACTTGTGTAAAAAATACTAATCGTTGATTCCATGAACTGGCTTAGTGGTTAGCGAAGTAGATACCAAATGGTAAGGTTTCTGGTTCGAATCCCTCTACTACCATGTTCGTAAAGGCTACTCTAGCACAATTGCATGATGTGATTGAAAATTCAGGCTTTTGTTTTCCGGAACCCTGAAAATTCAGACTTTTTTTTCTAGGAACCCTGAAAATTCAGGCTTTTTTTCACAGGGACCCTGATGCATCAACGTCCCTAAAAGTGAATCTGAGGGCCTGACCTAAAGCAAAACCCTGGCAAATCAGAGAAAAATTTGAACTTCCAAAAAAATTACCCAGAAACATCAGAGTGACCCCCAAAAAACCACTCTGATTTTCAGAGAAACAGAGAAATTTACTCTGATAAAAAAACCCCTGCTAGTCACCCATCATTCCGTTGTTCTCATTCTGACAGGCTGTGTACACACACAGGTACCGTACCAGATAACAAGAGGTAAACACCGGCCCACTGGACAGCACATGCAAGGCAAGGGATTGCCATTGCACGCACACACCCGTGCTTATGTTTATGTGATGTGCATTCACTCTTACCGTATTCTGCTTCCAAAGCTCGCCTGATTGCACCGCACACACATCGGGAGCACTGGCACACACTGTGTGTGTGAAATGAGAAGGGCGACAAGGTAAATAATCGGGGCCAAAATTCCCCAGAGTAGCTGAGGTACAAAATGATCGAACATTATATTTACACAGTACCTTTGTTGCAGAAGGATCATCAGTTTTTTTCCCAGAGAAATGTCAACCTAGACGCCAGCAGAGCCAACACCAGCGGTGAATCGAGAGCCGTGCCGCTCTGCCACCTGAGACGATCTCTGAGGCGCCTACAAAATCACCCAGCACTTGTTACAGAAGCACCATCTCATACCATCAGCTTTGGTCCCAAAGAGGGGTCAACCTGGACGCGAGGAGAGCCAACACCAGCGGCGAAATCGACAACTGTGCCGCCACCTGCCCTCCCAGCCACACCACCACCGCCACCAACGCCGCACATTTGTTGCCCTTTACATATCAGCCTTGGTCCCAAAGAGGTGTCAACCTAGACGCCAGCAAAGCCAACACCAGCGGCGAAATCGAGAGCTGTGCTGCCACCTGCCCTCCCAGCCACACCACCACCGCCACCAACGCTGCCGTCCTATGGCAAAACATGGGCCCTGCGACCCACTGAACCGCACTCAGCCCCACAACCAGCACCAGGCCCCTCACTCCCCCCAAGAACCATGCAACAAGCCCTGCAATCTGATACCCCCGCTGGTTCCCCCACATGAGGGCAAAGGTCAGCACCCCTAGCAACCGCTCAGTACAGATTGCTGAGGCACATGAGACGAGGAGGAAGAGAACGAGAAGCAGTGAGAGGATGGAGGAGAGGGACCGGAAACCGCCGGGGAAGAGGGAGCGGAAGCGGAAGAGGGCGAAGCGCCAGGTGTCGTCCACCCATTGGCCGAGGAAGACTTGTGAGAACGAGAGAGGGAGGGTGAAAGGTTCCAAGGCAGCACGCCTGATTTCTTGCGCTCGCTCTTCATCCTGCTGCTGCCAGCTGGCGCTATCCCATTCGTCCGCATGGTCCTCCTCCTGGTGACGTGGACGTGTGCGGGTGTTGCCCCTGCTGCCCCTGCTGCCTTGCTTGCTGTTTCGTTCTTGCCAATATGAACGCCTGTGGCTATACCTGTTGCTATATCTGTTACTATACCCGGAGCTATAGCTACTGCTATGGCTGTGTCTGTATGGTCTCTCTGCTTCCCATTGCTCCCAGCTGGCTGCCTCTCCCTGTTCTGGCTGCTGCTGCTGTTGCTGATGGTGAGTGGCATGTGAGCCGTATGTGGCGCTGTTTGCACTGTCAGACCAGGCATACGAGTAGGGTCGCTCTTGGCTGTGTGCTGCTGCTCTTCGCGACCGTCTTCCCTGCGACCGCATCTGAGAGTAGTTCAGCGGCCAGCGGAAAAAGGCCGCTGAATCCTGGGATGAATCCTCTGCCGCTGCTCCTGCTGCCCCTGTCCCTGTTCCTGCTGCTGCTGCTGCTGCCCCTGTTCCTGTTGCTGCTGCTTCACCAGATGACTCTGCTCGTGATGCTGATTGTGCAGAGAAGGGGTATGAATGCATGTTGCGAGGCCGGTAGGACGTGGAGGGGGGAACCCACCAGTCTCCCGTATCATCCGGGGGTGTGGCGGAGGAGTAAGAAGGTGCCGCTGCTGCTGAAGATGCAGCGGAGGGGCGTCTGTGTTGGTTCCAGAAGGGCCTGGCGTCACTCGATGCTGCAGCTGCCGCTGGTGGTAGGGTGAAGTCGTATCTTTGCCGCTGCTGCTCATCAGATAGCACCTGCATGGTGAGAAGGTTTTTGAGGCGCCTCAAAAGGCATGGTGAGAAAGTATGAATGGGAAAGGCAATGAGACACGGATGATATAGGTGATTGCTGCTGATGTAGCTGCTGTAGCTGCTGCTGCAGCTGGTGGCAGAGTGAGGTCGCATTGACAATCTCTCACAACCTCTCATCACCTAACAACCTCTCATCACCTCTAACAACTCCTCATCACCTTACAACCTCTCATCACCTCTAACAACTACTCATCACCTCACAACCTCTCATCACCTCTAACAACTACTCATCACCTCACAACCTCTCATCACCTCTAACAACTACTCATCACCTCTAACAACTGCTCATCACCTCACAACCTCTCATCACCTCTAACAACTACTCATCACCTCACAACCTCTCATCACCTCTAACAACTACTCATCACCTCACAACCTCTCATCACCTCTAACAACTACTCATCACCTCACAACCTCTCATCACCTCTAACAACTACTCATCACCTCACAACCTCTCATAACCTCACCACCTCTCATCACCTCTCACAACCTCTCATCACCTCTAACAACTACTCATCACCTCACAACCTCTCATAACCTCACCACCTCTCATCACCTCTCACAACCTCTCATCACCTCATAACCCATATGAATTGAAATGCCTCAGTGGTTTGGGAACGAGTGTGATGAGACAGGAATTCAGAAGCAGTGACACCCCCAATGCCATGATCCTCAGTACCTCTCACAAGCTCACAACCCCTCATCACCTCTCAACCTCGCATCACCTCATAGGCCGCCAGAATGGCTCGGAACGCCTGGGTAGACTGGTGGTGACGTGACACGTCCGGGTGGCACTGGAGGGAGCGGAAGGAAGGAAGGAGAGGGCGGAGGAGAGCACAGATGGCCTGGTGGCACAGGAGGCACAGGTGGTAGACAACGCACGGGACACACAGCATGCTAGTCCGAATGGCTTGGAACGCCTGGGTCAATTGGTGGTGGTGTGACACGTCCGGGTGGCACTGGAGGGGCGGAGGGAAGGAGGGTTAGGGCACAGATTGCACAGGATAGGCTACACAGCTTCTGTCACCATCAATCCCCTGAGACTTTTTTTTAGGGTTGAGGGAACTACACCAGCAATGCTGGAAAAAAACCCATCCCCTCCCCACATTTCCCTCCTCAAACGAAAAAAATAAAGAAATACGAAGAAGAAAGAAGGAAAGAATCGAAGGAAAATTGAGCAATGCCAAACAGGACTATCTTGAAAAAGCTACAGGAGCAATGCCAAACAGGAACACCGTACCTTGCGCGCCAGCCGTCTGAAGGCCGTTTTGATCTCCTGCTTGCTAGCGCGCCGCGACACTCCCAAGGTGACATAGTGGTCCCCCCCACCCGCACTGCTACCCCCTTCATACAGGGTCCCCCCACTCGCATCCCCACTGCCCGCATTGCCACCACCCCCGTCTCTGCTGCCCCAGTTCCGACTGCCCTCCTCCCTGCCGCCCTCCTTTCTGCTCCCTTCTGATTGGCCCGCCCAGTTCGCCCGCCAACGCCCTCCCCTCTCCCATTCCGCCCTGCCGTTTCTCTCGCCCTCGCCCCTTCCCTTTCCGCCTCCAGCCCTTCCGCTTCCCCAATCATCCGCGCCTCCCCACCGTCCCCTCGCCCAGCTCCGCCTCTCCGCCGCCGTCCCCTTCCCCCAGTCGTCCCCTCCCCGCGCCCTGCCAGCCGAGCGCGGGGAAGACTGGTTCCGCCCCCAGTCGCCCCCCCCATCCCACCTCCCGCTCCCCCAACTTCCGCCAACCCACCTTCCGCTCCCCCTCCCCCAGTCCTCCCCCCTCTGCGTCCCCCCATTCGAGCGCGCGCGATCCGCGGAGGCGACGAATAGAAGCCGCGCGGAGTTCCGTAAGTTCCGGCAGGGCTGTCGCGATCGACGCGCGGTCCGGGCCAAGAGGGTCGATGGAACGCGAGCGCTGAATGCGGGGAAATAGGAAACAGCTAATGGCCGTACGCCACGTGTCGAAATGTCTTGACCACCCGCCGACCATGGGGAGAGGGGCCAGAGGCGGAAAATATCCGCGCCGGATGCGGGCATCGCGCGCGCGCGTTAGCAAAACCGAAGGGGGCAGCTTCCGCTGTCACGCGGAGGACAGTGTTGAATGCGGCGAGAGCACGAGCTCCGCAAAACGACTATTAATCACCTAACTGTCAACGTTGACCTTGTACCATATCAGGTTCCTCTTTCGTCGCGCCAATGCCTTCCTTTGCGCAACGCGCGAGCGTGAGGTATGGGGTGCGCTAGGAGTGCCATCTCGCATGTCTCAGCGCGCAACGCGCAAGGAACGCCTTGTGAGGTGCATCCCCCACAGCCAGCAATGTTGCTCCGAATTATTCGTTTTTGCTATGTGCGCGATTGTCTAACAGACTAACTTTCTTTTGAATACACAATAAGGTGCAATAAGTGACAGTCTGGTCACCCTTTGCCACTCTTAAGACAAAATATACAGTCTGGTCGTGGGGATTTCACACGAGTACATACACGCGACGGTGTATCATTTCAGTTAGAAAACCACTTGTACATCCTATCAAACCATCGTACATTTTCATGGTGCTCCTTGCACTCCAAATATATTCTAATGTAGCTCGCAAGCGGTCCTGTAAATCCCCGACGGAAGAAGAATGTCTCCCATTCTTGTTGTAACTCTGGGCTCAAACAACTGGTAGTCGAATTGGAAAAGGATGTGGCAGAGGGAGAAAGGAGAAACAGGCAGGAGAAGATTGAGATGAGGAAAGCGTGAGGTAAACATACGCTAGAAAAACATGTTGCAGGGTGTTTTTTAGAATTCTCAAGGTGTTTTTGAGAATTCTCTGAGTGTTTTTGAGAATTCTCAAAAACACCCTGCAGCAGCATGAGAAGAGCGAGGTAAATATGCGGTAGAAAAACATGTTGCGGTGCGGTCTCAGAGGGAAATGTATGGGAATGAAGTCCTGTACTGTACCGTCAAAATGGGAATGAACTTTTGAGGTGCCTCAAAATGTGTTGCGGTCGAGGGGAAAAGGATGGGAATCACGTAAAGTGCTGTGCCTTCAAAATGGGAATGAAGGACCATATGTTGTCAGCTCAAAACACCAACTTAAAATGATCAGCACAAAACAACTCAATGATGCGGCTGCCCATGTGCTGGTATGCGCCCAGGGGAGGCCTCGGGATCTGCTGATTCAGCCAAACAGGAGGACCAGTTGTTGTGAACTCTTAACTACCAACTCAACACAAGAAGGAGCAGTGGGAACTCACTGATGCGACGCCCATATGCTGGTATGTGCCCAGGGGAAGCCTCGGGATCTGCTGATTCCACTCACAGGATCTTGTCAAACTATTATAATGTTTAAGTTGTGTAGGCTGTAGTGGGGTAGCCCATAAGGGGTACAACTCAATTAAAGTTAGTACTTGTACCAACTTTCTTCTCAATGCATTCATCCTCGTTCAGTATTCTGACAGATCTTCCAGTGGTAGTGCCTCAGCACCAGACAGTGGCAATTGAGGAGAGTCAAGGCAACAGCAATGATTAAGAAAAGTAGAGACTCACTGATGCGGCTGCCCATAGGATGGTATGCGCCCAGGAGGAGCCTCAGGATCTGCGGATTCCACTCGCAGGATCTTCCAGTGGTAGTGCCCCAGCACCAGGCAGTCAACCGTTATCGGGTATTGCTCCCCATGTGCCCCCCCTTCCCCATGTGCCCCCCCTTCCCCATGTGCCCCCCCTTCCCCATGTGCCCCCCCTTCCCCATGTGCCCCCCCTTCCCCATGTGCCCCCCCTTCCCCATGTGCCCCCCCTTCCCCATGTGCCCCCCCTTCCCCATGTGCCCCCCCTTCCTCATGTGCCCCCCTTTCCTCATGTGCCCTTGCTTCCCCCCCTGTTGCTGCTTCCCCTGTTCCTGCTGCTGTTCCTGTTTCTGCTACTGCTACAGCAGGCATTACACCTGCTGGTGACGCTTGCATCTCACCACCTGCAACATCTGATGTTGCAGTTGTAGCAGCTACAGCCTGGGCTTCTGGCAGTGCAGACAATGGTTGCTGCTGTTTCACATGTGAATTGCCAAGCCTCTGTGGCTGTGGCTTCTGTGGTTCACCAGGTGTAGGGGAGGTCGGGGTTCGATTCCGGCTGCTGCGGATTGCTTTCAGGTTGCAGATGCTCACTCGCACGTGGATGGGCGTCAGGTTGAAGCCCTGGTTCGTTTGCCACTGAACGGTGGGGTCGCAGATATGACAAGAGAGCATGAAATCCTCTTCTCCTGAACTGGGGAAAAAGAGCAGAGCTGCCATTCTGGAGAGCCTGGACTCCGATGAAGACCAGGAGAATCAGTGAATGAAAACACAAACTGAATGAAATTGGAAAGACGACAAAACAAAAGCAGGAAAATAGAAGCATAAAGCAGCAGATAGAGAGCCAGTGTCATCTTAGACGTACTTCAATGTCCGTCTGTTCATCCGTGTCCATGCCCTCCATAAGTTTCTCCTTCCACTGCCCGGAGACCATATCCTCCATTTTACAATGCAAGGAAATCGTACGCACCTCAATCTCCGTCCGTTCATCCGTGCCCATTCTTCATGTTACAAAGCAAGGGAATTGCAACAAGCGCACCTCAATCTCGGTCCGTTCATCCGTGTCCATGCCCTCCATAAGCTTCTCCTTCCACTGCCCCGATACCAGATCGTCCATCTTAACACCCTCCACCCTACCCTGCTTCTGCCACCTCCTCCTCTTCCTCTCCTCCTCACTCAACCCCCTCACCCCCCCCTCCCCTTCCCCTTCACCCTCTCCCCCTTCCTCCTCCTCTTCCTCTGCTCCCCCTCTCAGCTCCCGCTCCTGTACGAACCTCGCAGTCAGCAGCATGTCCTCTCCGTCCTCCTCGCTCTCCCTCCTCAGCGTCAGCAGCATCTCATGTCCGCTGGGCTCCAGTCTAAACTTGGACGGAGGGGGCTCCAGCAGAGGCTGGGGTGTGGGTGGTGACACAGGGAGGGGTATGCAGAATTGAGCCCTCTTCTTCTCCTCGCCTCCCTCTCCTCTCCATCCTTCTCACTCTCCCTCCTCAGCGTCAGCAGCATCTCATGCCCGCTAGGCTCAAGCAGAGGCTGTGAAAGAGGCAAGGGGGAAAGAAACGGTGGAGGGTGGGGGTAAGCGGGGGGGGGAGGAGGGGAAGACAAGGGAGGAGGAGGGGAGGAGGAGGGAGGAGGGGAAGAGGAGAGGGAGGAAAATGGGGGAGGAAGGGAGGAAGAAAGGGAGAGGGGGAAGTGGAGGCAGTGGTCAGGAGCAAAAGAATGCCCTCCTGTCTCCTGTACGAACCTCGTTGTCAGCAGCATGTATTCTCCGTCCTCTTCGCTCTCTCTTCTCAGCGTCAGCACATCTCATGCCAGCTGGGCTCCAGTCTGAACTCGGAAGGAGTTTACCAAACCTGTGGACGAGGTTCGGCATGTTGCTTTCATGCCGTACCTCAGGCATGGCGCTTGGATACTCCACCTCCCATGCCCGTTCCCCCTCAAAGCACTCGCGAACTCGTAAGGTACCCCGGCGCCATGCCTGCTGTATTAGAGTCTACCATACCTCTGAACGAGGCTCGGCATGACGCTCAGCATGAGGCTCGGTATGAGGTACGGCACGAAGCTGGCTTGCCATACCTCAGGCATGACACTCGGGTACTCCACGTCCCAAGCCAGCTTCCTCTCGAAGCACTCGAGAAACTTCTCATTCGACCCAGGCGGGAATGTCGAGTACGGCACCTCAATTTCCCCCTCCTCCACGCGTCTCCTCCAATCCCCCCGCCCCGCCGGATTCCCCTGTTCCTGCTGTGCGGGTACAGACCTTCCCCAGTTTTGCCGTCCTCCTGCCGCATTCGCCCCGCCTTGCCATCCCAAATGCCTCCGATCCGCCTCTGCTCCCGGCCTGGCGCGATCTTGCCACCCCCTTTTCCCTGGATCAACCCGCCCGGCTGATTCACCCCGCTCGTTCCGCGGAGTGTCCCCCCTGTCCCCTGGTTCTCCCCTCCCCGCACCCCCCTTTCCGTTTCCCCGTTCTCCTGTCCCTGGTCCCCAACGCCTGTGGTCCGGTTCTCCTGACGTGGCGCGATTTGGATTTCCCGGGCCACGTGTCCCGCTCGCGACTCCGCTCCCAACGCCTACTCTTGCGCCTGTGGTTCTTCTGTCTCGATTCGGATCGCGCAATGAGCGGTTCGACACTCCGTCTCTGCCATGCTCGTCGCCTCTCAAACTGTCGCTTTCGCTGTTACCACCTGAACCACCTGTCGCGCTGGAACTAGAGTTACTAGTGGAATGGATTGAGCACGCGTGAGTCTGCGACAGCAAGCGCGTTAAAATCTGATCGCTGCATGGTGGTAGCGCTGCCCGTGATTTGCGGCAGAGAACGCGGAGCATGATGGTACCGACGATGGAAATTCCCTGGGACTCCGCGAAAGATGGCGAGAGGTGCGATCCTTTGCGGAATTGGGTCCAAAGAGGATCTGAGTGTTCGCGAATCTCGCTCACGGGTGCGACGAACATTTACAAAACGCACATAGTTTTTTCGCTTATAACCAGTTTTACTATCTGGTTGGTGGCGGATGAACACAGCCCCCGATTCTCTCCCTTCCAGCATCTGATTGGCTGGATGACGGAAGGTTGGAGCTGTGGACGACATGCGAACTTTTCGGGTGCATCACCAACTTGTTTGCATTCGCAACACACCTCGAAAATGCCCTCCCATAGCTGTTCTCGAGATTGTTCGCTGGATGTCACCCCTCGAGATTGTCGCGAAGTCCAACCAGCCAAACCAGAACGGCAGTCCCTCCCTGGTTCAGTGGTGCAGCGCAGCCCAAGCACACAAACAACCCAACCAACATCTAGCAGTCATTCAAAATACTGGATTTAGGGCGGGTCCAGCGCGTACGTTTTCCGTACATTACAGTTCATTCAGTGCGGTAATCTGTACTGCGTCACGGTTAAAGACGGTGCAGTTTCAAAACCGTTGTGCACCGCCTGATATCTTCTCAAACCTAGACGAATGAACTGTATAGTACCTGTAAACGTACGCGCTGGACTCCCCCTTAGACCTACCTGCTTTCCAAGGTTCAGGGGCGTGTCGCGCGCCGCTGCCTGTTGCTCAAGGCAACTGGACTGCTAACTCTTCGCATCCTTATTCAAAAGTTGCGGCATCACCCCTGCTACTTTATTTATTCCTTACTGTTTTCTTCGGCGTTCTTTTCTTGACATTGGGCATTACATTCTCGCGTTGCGATCATGAGAGCATCGAATCCGTTATGGCCGCTGCTTTTAGCAGCAGCTATTGTTATCAGTAGCGCGTACGCTCAAGCTCAACTAGATGCGCCCCTTAGTTCCACGTCAGCAGACGCTCCTGCCAGCGCGCCCGCTCCCGCTCCCAGCTCCGTCGCAGCGCCTTTCCTCCCAGCCGCCGGCGACCTCCCCGCGGATTTCGGAACTCTGCCTGCGGCCGACGCCATGCGTCAGTCAATAATCGGCGGGCCGGCAGATCTAACGGCCGTTAGCCGAAAGAACTGCTCGCTATCTGTTCAGACGGACGTGGGAACCAACTGGGAGTTCGAAAACTGCGTGTATCTTCAATCGGGCGGGGGCTTCACCTTCCATGTAACACATTCTCAATATATCAGATCCTGTTCGCCTTTTCAAGCACAAAACTTTATGAATTTCTTTTTCCGCTATTCGTCAGAAAGGCTGCTACTTTCATAAGAGTGATCTTCGCGCTCGTTGCAGGGTTGGCTAGGCTCTCCTCATAACCGATTTTCCTCGTCCGGCCATTCGTATTCAGTGATTCGCTTTAATTCCAACTCTCGCCGTCTCCGCCATTCTCTTCCCTTCTTTCTCTTCCTGCGACCGCGCCACCCGCATTCTCGACGGCGCGTTCTCGGCAGATGGGGAGGAATGGCGGACTGGTGCATAGGCATACTCCCAGACAATTCAATCTCCAAAATTGTGCTGATCTCCCCTTTTCTCCTTCACCTCCCCCCATACCCCTCTCCGTCCGTCCAGTGGACGTATGATCGCCCCACTCGCATTCTCGACGGCGCGTTTTCGGCGGAATGGGAGGGGTGGGTGGGGTGGGGCATAGGCGTGCGCATGGTGGGGGCGAGCGCGCTGGTGGCGTTCCGGGCAAGTGAGACGGAGTATTACTTCTCGCAGTACTACCTGGCGGATTATAACGCGAGCCTCATCAAACAGGATACAGGGACCTTGGATTTGGTTCCCAACAGCGTCAAGGTGAGTGGGTGGCTTGAGAGCTCGCCTCTGGTCTGGCTGGGGGCGTAGAGAGTGAGCAAAGGCAAGTGAGACGGAGTATTACTTCTCGCAGTGCTACCTGGCGGATTATAACGCGAGCCTGATCAAATAGGATACAGGGACCTTGGATTTGGTTCCCAACAGCGTCAAGGTGAGTGGGTGGCTTGAGAGCTCGCCTCTGGTCTGGCTGGGGGTGTAGAGAGTGAGCGAAGGCAAGTGAGACGGAGTATTACTTCTCGCAGTGCTACCTGGCGGATTACAACGCGAGCTTGATCAAACCGGATACAGGGACCTTGGATTTGGTTCCCAACAGCGTCAAGGTGAGTGGGTGGCTTGAGAGCTCGTCTCTGGTCTGGCTGGGGGCGTAGAGAGTGAGCGAAGGCAAGCGAGACGGAGTATTACTTCTCGCAGTGCTACCTGGCGGATTATAACGCGAGCCTCATCAAACCGGATACTGGGAACTTGGATCTGGTTCCCAACAGCATCAAGGTGCTTATTTAATCGAGGTCTTGGGGGGCAGTGGGCCCGGCCTAGAGTCAGGGTCAGGGGACTCGCCCTGTCAGGCAAGGCGGAGTATTACTTCTCTTCTCGCAGTACTTCCTGGTGGATTACAATGCGAGCCTGATCGAACCAGATACTGGGAACTTGGATCTGGTTCCCAACAGCATCAAGGTGCGTATTCACTCGAGGTCTGGGGGCAGTGGGCCCGGTTTAGAGTCAGGATCAGGGGACTCGCTTAGTCAGGCAAGGCGTATTATTACTTCTCGCAGTGCTACCTGGCCGATTACAACGCGAGCCTGATCAAGCCGGACACGGGCGAGCTGGAATTGGTTCTCAACAGCATCAAGATGAGTGGGTGGGTGGATTAGGGATTGGGGCCCCTGAGCTCGGGCAGGCCAGAGATGGGGGACTCTCGCTCAGGGTTTAACGTATCGCTATACCTGTGCAACGAGACGAGTTACTCGCTCGGTATCGCCCGACGTTTGGGTGCGAGTAACGAGTTTAGGTTTTTGTAAATTTTACTCGTACGAGTGTCGGCGAGTTTTACCCGCCGAGTTTTTTTTGCTCGACGAGTACTTGCGTGCTTTTAGGCGAGCATTTATGGAACTCGTCGATTAGTCATTCTAGACCAGTTACGACCAACATCACACACAACTAAGTTTTCGGTAGCACCCCTGAATTCGTCGATAACACTGGTAAGGTACTCAAATCGTATGGCAGGGGGGGAGCGGGTGATGGGGACGGGAAACCCGGGACAACTGTTTCTAGCAAACGAATCCGCCAGATCCAGTCGACCTAAAATCCACATCGATTGGAGGTTGGGTTGAGAGTTCGACGAAGTGCGGTGCAAAGCGGTTATGCTGTTGTAGGTCCACATGCGCAACGATTACAATTGGATACCTATTTTTTTCCAACTCTTTTACTTCCCTGAACCGCACTAAATCCCATCCACTCTACCTAACCCAACCTCTCCAATCTCTACATCTTGCGCTGCGACAGAGGGAGATCTTGATTCCTCCCGTACGCACCCTACCTTGACACCAATGTTGTGCATCGAAATCGTGAAACACGATGTCATCGCGCAGCCTTTTTCTTCGCGGGCCTGCTGGTAAATACCGTATAGGGCACATGGCCGAGAATTACTCGTACTCAGACAAGCTTTTCTAAATGCTCGCCCGAGTTTCCTGTTGAAGGGCGAGTAACGAGTTTCTGTTTGGGGGAAAAATGCTCGGTCGAGTATTACTCGACTCGGGTAGAAACTCGGCCGAGCAAGGCTAGGGACGAGTCGAGCATTACTCGGCTCGCCCCTTTGCACAGGTATACGTATCGCAGTGCTACCTGGCGGACTACCATGCGCGCCCTGATCGAGCCGGATTCTGGGGAGCTGGAATTGGTTCCCAACATCATCAAGGTGAGTGGCTTGGTGTCTGAGGGCCTGGACCCGGGCCAGAGTCGGGAGACTCTCGCTCAAGGTATTATGTGTTGCAGTGCTACCTGGCGGACTACAATGCGAGCCTGATCAAACCGGATATCGGGGAGGAGACCTTGAAATGATTCCCAACAGCATCAAGGTGAGTGGCTTGAGGGTGGGGGATTAATATGTGAGGTGAGGACAGGGTGGCTTACGGTGGGGTGGGGGTGTAATCATGTCAGGCGAGGAGGAGTCCTACATATCGCAGTAATCCCCCTCGCATTACTACCTGAGGGATAATAACGGGAGTGTGATTGAGCTGCATCTAGGGATCTGAACATGGTGTCCGGCAGCAGCATCAATGTGAGCGATTTGGGTTATTGTGCCTGCCTTGGAGTGACGGGAGGGTTTTGAGACGTCTCGAAACACTTCTTCATACACGCGGTTTGGGTTCTAAACCCTAAACCTTGGAGTCAGGGGAGGGTTTTGAGATGTCTCAAAACACTTCTTCAAACACGCGGTTTGGGTTCTTGTGCCTGCCTTGGAGTCACGGGAGGGTTTTGAGACGTCTCAAAACACTTCTTCATACACGCGGTTTGGGTTATTGTGTTGCAGTGCTACCTGGCGGACTACAATGCGAGCCTGATCAAACCGGATATCGGGGAGGAGACCTTGAAATGATTCCCAACAGCATCAAGGTGAGTGGCTTGAGGGTGGGGGATTAATATGTGAGGTGAGGACAGGGTGGCTTACGGTGGGGTGGGGGTGTAATCATGTCAGGCGAGGAGGAGTCCTACATATCGCAGTAATCCCCCTCGCATTATTACCTGAGGGATAATAACGGGAGTGTGATTGAGCTGCATCTAGGGATCTGAACATGGTGTCCGGCAGCAGCATCAATGTGAGCGATTTGGGTTATCGTGCCTGCCTTGGAGTGACGGGAGGGTTTTGAGACGTCTCGAAACACTTCTTCATACACGCGGTTTGGGTTCTAAACCCTAAACCTTGGAGTCAGGGGAGGGTTTTGAGATGTCTCAAAACACTTCTTCAAACACGCGGTTTGGGTTCTTGTGCCTGCCTTGGAGTCACGGGAGGGTTTTGAGACGTCTCAAAACACTTCTTCATACACGCGGTTTGGGTTATTGTGCCTGCCTTGGAGTCACGGGAGGGTTTTGAGACGTCTCAAAACACTACTTCATACACGCAGTTTGGGTTATTGTGCCTGCCTTGGAGTCACGGGAGGGTTTTGAGACGTGTCAAAACACTTCTTCATATACGCGGTTTGGGTTATTGTGCCTGCCTTGGAGTCACGGGAGGGTTTTGAGACGTCTCAAAACACTTCTTCATACACGCGGTTTGGGTTCTTGTGCCTGCCTTGGAGACACGGGAGGGTTTTGAGACATCTCAAAACACTTTTTCATACACGCTGTTTTGGTTATTGTGCCTGCCTTGGAGTCACGGGAGGGTTTTGAGACGCCTCGAAACACTTCTTCATACACGCGGTTTGGGTTATTGTGCCTGCCTTGGAGTCACGGGAGGGTTTGAGACGTCTCAAAACACTTCTTCATACACGCGGTTTGGGTTCTTGTGCCTGCCTTGGAGTCACGGGAGGGTTTTGAGACGTCTCAAAACACTTCTTCATACACGCGGTTTGGGTTCTTGTGCCTGCCTTGGAGACACGGGAGGGTTTTGAGACGTCTCAAAACACTTTTTCATACACGCTGTTTTGGTTATTGTGCCTGCCTTGGAGTCACGGGAGGGTTTTGAGACGCCTCGAAACACTTCTTCATACACGCGGTTTGGGTTATTGTGCCTGCCTTGGAGTCACGGGAGGGTTTGAGACGTCTCAAAACACTTCTTCATACACGCGGTTTGGGTTCTTGTGCCTGCCTTGGAGTCACGGGAGGGTTTTGAGACGTCTCGAAACACTTCTTCATACACGCAGTTTGGGTTCTTGTGCCTGCCTTGGAGTCACGGGAGGGTGAGTGGTTTGAGTTGAGGTCTGCTGGGGGGCGTAGAGTCGGTCAGGGGAGGCGGTCAGAGCACCGTACCATGTCAGGGGAGGCGGTCAGAGCACCGTACCATGTCAGGGGAGGCGGTCAGAGCACTGTACCATGTCAGGGGAGGCAGTCAGAGCACCGTACCATGTCAGGGGAGGCGGTCAGAGCATCGTACCATGTCAGGGGAGGCGGTCAGAGCACCGTACCATGTCAGGGGAGGCGGTCAGAGCACCGCACCATGTATGTCACTCACAGTATTGCTACCTGATAAGCTGCCTGCCATGCGCGTTTTATGCAGGCGAGCCAGTCATAGTTGCCAACATGTCATCACGTCGTGGCTTTGAGAATCCAAAAAAAATAAAATTCTGGCGAGTCAGTCATAGGTGCTAACATAACACGTCATCAAGTCGTTGCTTTTGATGTGATCGGGACTGTTTCTAAGAGGCACGATTTGAGTTTTTTTATTGAGGGAAATATAATAATTTTGTTTCTGCTCAACATGCTCCCCTTTCCCCTCTTCCTACCCCACCCGCTCAAGCCCAAGTTGTATGTGGTATTTGAGAACGGAAAAAAACAAGCGAAACGACATCAACTGGATGCCATTAATGCTCATCAACCCAGGTGGTTTCTGAACACTCTTGAAAACGATTTTGAGGCGCCTGAAGATGTGATCAATTTTTTAGGCGCCTCAAAATGCGAATTCTGGGGCGCAACCAAGATGCGATCAATGCTCCTCGACTCTTTGAACCCCCACGCCCCCTCCCTCTCCCCCCTTCGCTTACCCCTTCTTTGTGCTACTTCTATCCATATTTGTTAAATTCCTGCTTTTCTCCCATTTGAGGCGCATTGTCCCCCTTCATCATTTGTGTCTCTCCATCTGTCAGGTGCACACTCAAGGCTCCACGGCGCGAGTGATATTCTATAATACAAATGGACAAAAGCACGCCTCAGAAACCTCCTTCATCTTGTCACTCTTTTCTTTCAGGTGCACATTCATGGAACCATGGTGCGAGTGATGCTGTATAGCATATCAAACTGGATACGCACATATACACGCCTCAGAAACGTCCTTCATTTGTGCCAATCTTCCCTTTCAGGTGCACATTCAAGGAGCCACGGTGCGAGTGATGTTCGCAGTGGTGCTACCGGAGGGGCAGACGCCAGGGCTGTATGTGATCATGGCCAAGGGGCAGGGGGGCAACGGTGACACGGGGGCTTTGGAGCCCCACAGCCCCTTCAACACCGCCCGCACCTACCTGCGCCTTGCAGGTGAGAGCTCAGGGTTCTAGGGTTCTCATGGTTTAGGGATTTAGGGCGTGTCTCCATTTTGCCCCCGACGGTTCGAACCGTGGACAGTCTGAACTGCGAAGAGGTTACCTGTTTCGCACAATTTTGTGATAGGTTTCGTGAAGATATTTGCGACGTCGCCAACGGTTCGAACTGTCGCGTCACTTTTCCCTCCTCACAACGGTTCAGATTCTGAACCTTCCGCAGCTCGAAAAGCAAACGGATGGTGCAACAGTACTGACTAGAGATTGGCGCGCGAGAAATTTTTACAATACGAAATCAGATTTGCGCACGGAGTTTGCAGAGAAAATGTCGTGTCTCCATTTTGCACGCTAAGGGCGTGTCTCCATGACATCACTGGGTCCCAGTGATGTTCGCAGTGGTGGTATCACAGGGGCAGACGCCAGGGCTGTATGTGATTTGATCATGGGCAAGGGCGAAGGGGGTGATGCTGCCACAGGGGTCGGAGGGGGGGGTGGCTGTGGTAGCACCGGGGGTGCTGTTGGCTGTGGTGCAACCGGAGGGGCAGACGCCAGGGCCGTATGTCATTATGGCCAAGGGCGAGGCCCGAGGGGGGCAATGCCGCCATTGGGGGGGGCTTGGAGCCCCAGTGTCCCGTCAACACCTCCCGAACTTACCTTGTCAACCTCGTCGCCTGCAGTGCAGCCTGCTCCTTCCCATCGGCATGCTGCTCGCCCGCTCAACCTGATTCCCACCTCCCAATCCTGTCTTTTAATCTCCTTCCCTACCTCTGACTCTCCCACCACCCAATCGTGTCTCCCATCCCCCAACCCTTGCTCACCCCCTTTCCGCATTCTCTCCCCCCTGCTCACCCCCTTTCCGCATTCTCTCCCCCCTGCTCACCCCCTTTCCGCATTCTCTCCCCCCTGCTCACCCCCTTTCCGCATTCTCTCCCCCCTGCTCACCCCCTTTCCGCATTCTCTCCCCCCTGCTCACCCCCTTTCCGCATTCTCTCCCCCTTGCTCTGCTCCCACCCTCTCAGGTGCCGGACCTCCCCAGTGGCTGCAAGCAGCACACGGCTCGCCCGCCACCTCCTTGCCTGGGGTCTCCTCCTCCCCATCACCATCTTACTCGCCCGCCACCTCCCCTTACCCACTTCCCTGCCTTCTCACTCCTGCTTTCTCTCCCCCTTGCCCTGCCCTTGCCCCCTCTCAGGTGCCGGACCCCCCCAGTTGTTGCAAGCAGCACATGGCCTGGTCAACCTCCTTGCCTGGGCCCTGCTCCTCCCCATCGGCATGCTACTCGCGCGCCACCTCTCCGTCACGGCCCCAATGATGCCTTTTCTTTTCCTGCCCTTGCTCCCTTCCAGGTGCTGGACCCCCCCAGTGGCTGCAAGCAGCTCACGGCCTCGTCAACCTCCTCGCCTGGGGTCTCATCCTCCCCATCGGAATGCTGCTCGCCCGCCACCTCCCCCAACTCGACCCCTCCTATTCCTCCTCCTCCTCCGCCTCCGCCTCCTCCGCCCCCTCCTCCGCCTTCCCCTTCCCTTTCCCCTCATCCGCCGTGGCGGTGGTAACCAGCGGGCCTGGAACACCCTCCTGGGTGAAGCTGCACCGGGTGGTGCAGGCGGGGGGGTATGCGCTGGGCGCTTTTGGGTTCTTCCTCGGGCTGCTCATGTGGGGGGATGCGCATGAGGGGCATGTGCGCCTCAGGGGCGTGGGGGGGGAGGAGGCAGGCGAGTTTGACCCGGGGGCTCACAGGCGCTATGGCATCACGCTGTTCGTACTCGCTTCGTTTCAGGTGGGTGTGTTAGCACGAAAAATGAAAAGCAGCAGGATGTATCAAGGGAAGTTTGACTCAGGCGCGCTCCGGCAGTAGGCATCACCACGTTCGTGCTCGCTTCGTTTCAGGTGGGTTTCATGACCTAAGATCCGAGAAACCAAAAGCACAGTACTGTGAGGGTAATGTGACAAGGGCGGGCGCACACCGGCGATGCAGCATCACGCTGTCCGTGCTTGTTTCACTCCAGTTGGGCGTGTTGACCTCTAGCAATCAGAGGCATCGGTTCTTGACGAGGGGGAGGGTAACCCGAGCAATCTGAAGCATGGGTTCCTTCCGTGTTCGTCTCCTTGTGAAACTCCATCGAGGAGGGTTCCTTGGTGATGGGGAGGGTTACTCGGCGACAGGCGGCCACTTGTGCTTCCACGTTCACATGCGATCAGCTGTTCTCGTGCCCTCTTGTGCTCCTGCAAATATGTGCGATGCCATTCTTATGTCGAATTCTGCCCTGTATGCAGGTGCTCGCTCTCAGGTGATCCCCACAAGGGCGCTCTGCTGTGCCCCTGATGGAACCTCCTGTGCCACTGGAACGGGCGCGTGGTGCCACTGACTGCCATATAGGTCCACACATGCTCTTGCGCTCATCTGCACACCATGCCATGTGCTCATCTGCACACCATGCCATGTGCTCATCTGCACACCATGCCATGTGCTCATCTGCACACCATGCCATGTGCTCATCTGCACACCATGCCATGTGCTCATCTGCACACCATGCCATGTACTCATCTGCACACCATGCCATGTGCTCATCTGCACACCATGCCATGTGCTCATCTGCACACCATGCCATGTACTCATCTGCACACCATGCCATGTGCTCATCTGCACACCATGCCATGCGCTCATCTGCACACCATGCCATGCGCTCATCTGCACACCATGCCATGTGCTCATCTGCACACCATGCCATGTGCTCAGGTGACTGCTCTCATGGTCATTCCCCACAAGGATGCCCTCCTGCGCCCCTGGAACGGCCGACTGGTGCTGCTGTACTCCCATGTATACTCACAAGTCTATACCCGTGTGCTATCACGTCTTATATGCAACCCCTGGCTCAGGTGACTGCTCTCATGGTCATTCCCCACAAGGATGCCCTCCTGCGCCCCTGGTGGAACTTGCTTCACCACTGGAATGGACGCCTGGTGGTGCTGCTGGGAGTGATCAACGTGTGGCATGGCATCTCGCTGCTGCACCCCCACTCCATGGTATGCCGTCACTCAAGGTTGGGAGGGCAGTGTGCCAACGAAAATTCTTGGTCCAGAAAGGGCGATTGTACAGTTGACTGTACAACTGTTGCCATTTGCTGCTGGGAGCGATCAACGTGTGGCATGGCATGGCATCTCGCTGCTGCACTCGCACTCCATGGTATGTGCCGTCACTCATGGTTGGTCGGTAGGGTAGAAGTGCCAGCAAATTCGGTGGAGCGGAAAAGGAAGCGAGTAAAATGTTAGTGTTGCTGAAGAGTGATCAACGTGTGGCATGGCATCTCTCTGCTGCACCCGCACTCCATGGTAATACCCTCGCCCTCAGGCATGGTCTGCTGCACCCGCACTCCATGGTAATACCCTCGCCCTCAGGCATGGTCTGCTGCACCCGCACTCCATGGTAATACCCTCGCCCTCAGGCATGGTCTGCTGCACCCGCACTCCATGGTAATACCCTCGCCCTCAGGCATGGTCTGCTGCACCCGCACTCCATGGTAATACCCTCGCCCTCAGGCATGGTCTGCTGCACCCGCACTCCATGGTAATACCCTCGCCCTCAGGCATGGTCTGCTGCACCCGCACTCCATGGTAATACCCTCGCCCTCGGGCATGATCTCTCCACTCAGCGTTGCCTTTGGTCTGCTCTGGTATGTGTGGCATGGCATCTCGCTGCTGCACCCACACTCCATGGTATTTGTCATCCATCCTGTTAGGCATTCCCTTGTGTCTCCTCCCCATTTTCACGACTCTCTGCCCCCATATCCCCTTCCCTCCCCTGTTACCTGTACTGCCGGTGTAGCCCTCTAACCTTCTACGTAATCCTGTAAACCTGTTACCCACTCCTGTATTCCGTTTGTTGCCAGGTGTGGTCCTTCCTGTACGGCATTCCCTTTGGTCTGCTCCTCATCATCGCATCGCTGCTCAAGGCCTTCACTTCCCTTGTTCCCCCCGTCACTTTCCTCTCGGCCAGGTGTGGTCCTTCCTGTACGGCATTCCCTTTGGTCTGCTCCTCATCATCGCATCGCTGCTCAAGGCCTTCACTTCCCTTGTTCCCCCCGTCACTTTCCTCTCGGCCAGGTGTGGTCCTTCCTGTACGGCATTCCCTTTGGTCTGCTCCTCATCATCGCATCGCTGCTCAAGGCCTTCACTTCCCTTGTTCCCCCCGTCACTTTCCTCTCGGCCAGGTGTGGTCCTTCCTGTACGGCATTCCCTTTGGTCTGCTCCTCATCATCGCATCGCTGCTCAAGGCCTTCACTTCCCTTGTTCCCCCCGTCACTTTCCTCTCGGCCAGGTGTGGTCCTTCCTGTACGGCATTCCCTTTGGTCTGCTCCTCATCATCGCATCGCTGCTCAAGGCCTTCACTTCCCTTGTTCCCCCCGTCACTTTCCTCTCGGCCAGGTGTGGTCCTTCCTGTACGGCATTCCCTTTGGTCTGCTCCTCATCATCGCATCGCTGCTCAAGGCCTTCACTTCCCTTGTTCCCCCCGTCACTTTCCTCTCGGCCAGGTGTGGTCCTTCCTGTACGGCATTCCCTTTGGTCTGCTCCTCATCATCGCATCGCTGCTCAAGGCCTTCACTTCCCTTGTTCCCCCCGTCACTTTCCTCTCGGCCAGGTGTGGTCCTTCCTGTACGGCATTCCCTTTGGTTTGCTCCTCATCATCGCATCGCTGCTCAAGGCCTTCACTTCCCTTGTTCCCCAGCCCACGTCGACCAACCGGTCCCCACGGAAGAAGTCGGTGGCGCTGAAGCAGCTCAAGAGGGAGCTGGAGGTCAACATGAAGCTGCGACGACCTCAAACCTCCTCTACAGATGCATCTGCAACATCTGAAACATCTACGGTATCTACCCCATCTATGAATTCTACTACGAGCTCGAGAACCACGTCGTCGACGACAACAAAAAATCATGGCAATAGGGAACGGCAGGACCGGCCATCTGCCACCCCAGGAGAAAACACAGAGCTATGGGAAATGCCATATGATCCAATCAACGAGACGATCAACGGGTACAACGAGCAACACCAACCACTTTTGCTCGAGGTGATCTGCAATGGACGACGCCTCCGAGCACTCGTGGACAGCGGAGCATCCCATTCAGTATGCGACAAAGCAACCCTCGAACGCATCAATGAGAAGTACACGCCTTCAAACTTCACAGCTACAATGGTTGACGGAAGCAAATTACAAGTCTACGGCGAAACAGCGTTACACCTCCAGATGAGTCCTCTTCGCTGGAAACCGACCCTACCCGTCACCAACATCAAAGGGCTAGACTTGATTCTTGGGAGAGATTTTCTGAAGAAGTTCAACCCCGAGATCAACTGGGTCACCCGCACGGCGAGTATTTACAATCAATACATAAGAGTTCCTCTTCCGAATTGGAGCAACATGGGAGATATTCCGGAGGAGACTCTCGCACGCTTCGAGAAGGACGTGAAGCGAACCATGGCAGGGTTTGTTGCACTGGTTACCAACGAGGACGAAGGAGAGAGAAAAACGCTCGAGCTTCCACCAGCAATCCAGAAACTTCTAGAAGAGTTCGAAGACGTTTTCCCTGACGACCTTCCAGACCAGTTGCCGCCATACCGAACCCACCAGCACGAGATCATCGAAGAACCTGGTTCAAAACCGACCTTCCGAGCACCATATCGACTCAGCCCTACCGAGTTGGCCGACATGAAGAAGCAGATCGAGTACCTTCTGGACAAATGACTCATTCGACCATCAACATCACCATACGGTGCACCAGTGCTTTTCACACCAAAATCTGACGGAAGCTTACGCATGTGCATCGACTACCGAGCCCTCAACAAGCAGACGATCAAGAACAAGTATCCGATTCCACGGATCGACGATCTACTTGACCAGCTTCGTGGAGCCACTGTATTCTCAAAACTCGATTTGAGATCGGGATATTGGCAGATCCGGATGGCGGATAACTCCATCCATAAGACAGCGTTTCGGACACGATACGGATCCTACGAGTACCTCGTCATGCCGTTCGGACTCACCAACGCACCCGCTACATTCCAGGTCGAAATGAACCATATTCTTAGGCCTCTACTCGACGAATGCGTGGTGGTGTACCTGGACGACATCCTGATCTACTCGAGGGACATGAAGCAGCACATCGAACACCTACGACGCGTCTTCGAGATACTTCGACGGGAGAATTTCTACGTTAAGCTATCCAAGAGCGAGTTTGCCTTGAAGAAAGTTCAGTTCCTTGGACACATGGTGAGCACTCAAGGAGTCCATGTCGACCCAAAGAAGATCGCAGCCGTACGTACGTGGAAGACACCGGAGAACGTGAAGGAACTTCAGCAATTCCTTGGCTTTGCGTACTATTATAATCGGTTCGTGCCACAGTATGCGAAGATTGCAACACCTCTCACCAATCTACTGAAGAAGAATACACCGTTCAAGTGGGAGGATGTGCACCAGCAAGCCATGGAGCAGTTGAAGACCGCACTCACGTCCGCACCCATCCTGATCCTGCCAGATCCAGAAAAAGACTACGTCGTCGAAGCTGACGCTAGCGACCAAGCAGTTGGAGCAGTCTTGATGCAAGACCAAGGGAAAGGACTACAACCAATCGCTTACCTCAGCAAGAAATTGCACGGGGCAGAACTCAACTACCCGATTCACGACAAAGAGGCCTTAGCGATCATCACCGCATTCAAGACATGGCGATGCTACCTCGAAGGGAGAAAGACCATGGTCTACACTGACAATTGCAGCCTGAAGTACCTAAAGACGCAGCCGACCCTCTCCAGAAGACAAGTCAGGTGGATTGACTTCCTCGAGACGCACTTCGACTACGACATCGTGTACAAGCCGGGACACAAGAATAAGGCAGACGCACTGAGCCGGCCTGGACACGTTGCCGCCATACAGATTGAGGGGATGAATCTGCTACTCAAGGGACTCTTCACGCACGGGTATACCATCGACCCCGAGATTCCCTTAGCGGAGAAAAAGAAATTGTTGCAGTGGGACCACGACGTCGCACTACGCAAAGGATCAACAAAGATATGGGTACCCAACTACCCGCCTCTTCGGCAGTTGCTTCTCGAAGAATTCCATGACGTGCTCTACGCTGGACACTTCAGGAGTAACAAGACTCTTGCCGGGATTGCGGAAGTCTACTACTGGCCTCACATGGCAAACGACGTGCAAAAGTTTGTCACTTCGTGCGACACGTGCCAGCGGATGAAAAGCAGTAAGCAGAAGAAAGCAGGACTTCTTCAGCCTTTACCCGTCCCGGAACAGCCTTGGCAAGTGATCAGCTTGGATTTCATCACCGGTTTACCACCTACCAACGCGGAGCATGACGCCATCCTGGTCGTCATCGACAAATTCTCAAAGATGGGACACTTCATTCCGACACATACAACCGCACGCACGGAGGAAACGGCACAGCTATTCCTCAAACACATCATCTCACAGCATGGGATCCCAACAACCCTCATATCCGACAGGGACCCCAAGTTTACTAGCAAGTTCTGGAAAGAGCTCATGTTGTCAGATTTATATGACATAGCTACTGTAGGCTATAGTGGGGTAGCACATATGGGGTACAGTTTTCTAGGGTTTACATTTGTACCCAACTTTCCCTTAGTCATTTTTCATTCCTCGTTTCTTCTCATGGTATCGAGCAGGTTCCCTAGTGGGAACGATTCCTAGGGCCCACCACCACGAAATTTTTTTTTTCCTGCCCGGAGCGCGCTTCGCTCCGGCCCGAGTCGCGCCCTGTGTGCTCTCCCTACCGTCGCGCCCTCGCTAGGCCCCTCACGGCCCCGTCGTGTCGCCCTTAGCGGCCCTCTCACGGCTCCCTAGCGCCGCCCTTACGGCTCGTCGCGCCGCCCTTACGGCCCGTCGCGCCGCCCTTACGGCCCGTCGCGCCGCCCTCACGGCCCCTCGTGTCGCCCTTACGGTCCGTCGCGCCCGTCGCGCCGCCCTCACGGCCCCTCGCGCTACCCTTACGGGCCCTCCCGCGGCCCCTTCGGCCCCTCCCGTCGCCAGTCGGCCCCTTACGGCCCCCTCGCGGCCCCTCGAGCCGCCTTCCGCGGCCTCCTCACGGCCTGTCGCCGCCCTCGACGGCCCCTCGTGGCGCCCTTCACGGCCTCTCCGCCGCTCTTCGCGGCCCCTAGCGGCCGGCAGCCGCCGTCCCTGAGGCAGCAGCCGCAGCCGTCTCTGCAGCAGCAGTCGCCACAGCTTCTGCGACTGCTTCCGCGGTCGTCACCAACCACACCAGCCGCCGAGCCGCCCAGCAGCCGAGCACCCGAGCCGCCGAGCCGTCCTGCAGCCGAGCAGCCGAGCCGCCGAGCCGCCCAGCAGCCGACCGCCGAACCGCCCGGGCTGCCGAGTTGCCGAGCCGCCCGAGCCGCCCGAGCCGCCGAGTCGCCCGAGCCGCCCGAGCCGCCGAGCCGCCCGAGCCGCCGTGTCGCCGACCCGCCGTCCTGCCGAGCCGCCGAGCCGCCGAGCCGCCCGAGCCGCCCTGTCCGGTAAGAGCAGCGCCTCTATCACTGCACTGCCCTTACCCTACTGTTCGCACTGCTAGTCTACTGCTGTCATGGCTACCCCTAGTGTCCTCGCCTTTGACGCTGAGGGTCGGGCCATTGACTTTGACGTCTGGGTAGATGACCTGCAGCTTTTCTTACAGTGCGATAGGGCAGACGGTCTCTCCCTCTTTGACCTCACCTCTGGTGCCTCTCCTGCCCCTGCTGCTGATGCCGACGCCACTGTTCGCTCACAGTGGGCCAAACGCGATGCTGCTGCACGTCTAGCTGTGCGTCGCCACCTGCCTACCTCTGAGCGTGCGCACTTTAGCCAGTACAAGAGTGCTCAGACCTTGTACGACGCTGTAGTTGCGCGCTACTCCTCCCCTGCCACTGCTGCACTGAGCCGCCTCATGCTACCGTACCTCTTCCCTGACCTTGCTGCCTTTCCCACAGTCGCTGACCTCATTACGCACCTCCGCACTAGTGACACTCGCTACCGCGCTGCGCTTCCTGCTGAGTTCTGCGCCAAGAACCCCCCCCCCATGTACATCACCCTCTACTACATAGTCACCCGGCTCCCTGACTCCCTTCGCGTAGTCAGGGACCACTTCCTCTCAGTTTGCCCCACCACTCTCACCGTTGACCTCCTCGAGAAGGCCCTCCTAGCAGCAGAGAAGAGCATAGTCGCTGTAGGAGCCTCTCGTGGTGACCCTCGCACCCCCGTCTTTGAGGGGTGTTCCCCCTCCCCCCTTTTGCCCTCTGTTGCCTCTGCTGCTGCGGCCGACCTCGTTGGTCTCGAGTCGGTCGGCGCTGCGTCTGCCCCGAGCGAGAGACGCCGCACCGGCAAGGGCAAGGGGGGCAAGGGTGCTGGAGGGGCTGGCGGGGGTGGCGGAGGTGGCGGTGGCGGCAGTGGAGGGGGTGGGGGTGGTGGTGGGAGTGGTGGCGGGGGTGGAGGTGTCGGTGGCGGCAGTGGAGGCGGAGGCGGCGGCGGTGGTGGCGGTGGGAGCGGAGGTGGCGGAGGTGGCGGAGGTGGCGGAGGCGGCGGCGGAGGAGGTGGAGCTGGTCGGGGTGGCGCTGGGCAGAGGGTTGGCTCAGGTGGTGGTCAGCGCCAGCAGCAGCAGCAGCAGCGGCAGCAGCGCACTCGTGACATCCCCCCCCCTCAGCAGCTCCGTGAGTGGTACGCTGCACGCCAGCGGGGTGGGGGTACTGGTCCGTGCACCTACGTCCTACGCACCGGCGACCGCGCGGGTGAGCAGTGCGGGGGTGCGCACTCCACCCAGCGCTGCTTTGGCCGCCTGACGGACGCTTGGTGTCACCAGTTCCCT